AATTCCTCTTGCTCACCAGTAAAACCTTCAGATTCAGTTGCATCTTTACATGTCAAAGCAGGATTGACTGTATAATCATCCAAAGCTCTTTACAATGTGCCTCTCATTCACACACACACTTACACACTTGAGCTACAACTCAAGGTGCTGCCCTAAACCATCCAACCAGCCTAATTTGGAGTTCAGTGTTCTGTGACATATGGACAGGTAGTAGACTCATTGACATGCTCTATCATGCTCTATCATACTCTATTCACAATGTGAATTGCTTATTATTATAAATGTGAAGAGTTGAATTTTCTAGAGAACCAAATTGTGTGCCAGTGTGCCAAACTTAAATTAAGGTAAGCTTATTTTGCCTCCTTGAAACTCTTAACATTATACACAGAACCTGACTGTGCTTGTTAGTAAACCAGACATAAATAAAAACTGCCTTAGGTGTTTGTGTCTAACTAAGGTCTCATATCTTGTTGGAATTCAGATAACAGACTAGATCAGACCTGAGAAACTTGTACTCATTCTAGGTTGGTTTAGTTTTAATTTTATTGATACCTATGTCCCACCAAAGCGGCAAATGAAGCCAACACAGAAGTAACAAAAAAGCAAAAGCTATGCATAATGTGTGGCTGCTTTGAGTGGCAGGTGGGTGCAGTCACAGTTGGCTGTTTTCAGTAACCAGGCTTCATTTGGCCAGCCTCACCTCCACCCACACTCCACACAAAATGGCAACGGTCAGAACCACTGCACTGAGCTTCACAGCGGCTTTTCAAAAACCTATGGGTGACATCACATTTTTAATTATACAGTCTATGGAAAACCAGCCCTGTCTCTCAAATATAAAACAAATTAAATATAAATAACATTAATTTAACATTAAATGTTAGTATTTATATATACTGTCTATATTAGTTTCAAGGTTCTGGAGATTCGGTTCTTTCTTGTCTTTGTCATCACGCTCTTCTCACATAAAGTGTGTCAGTTTTGATTTATTAAGCAGTTGGTCTCCTATTGTTCTGGTTGTTTTAGAATGTGCTTTGTCAGTAGGCAGCAGTTTTACATGATGGATAGGTATATACAGCAGTAGACTGTATTATTTCTTTATTGTGTGTAATTAGGCTTTTACCTGATGCAAGGGGTTAATGTCAGTCTTGCCATAGATACCTATGATGATGGGCTTGCTTTGTTGTTCAGTGTCGGATCTCCGTGGCCCCAAAGTGTAGTTACATTTTGGAGGAGGGGCATGTCAGCTACGGCAGTTACATATAACTATAAAGCTATACCTTAATCCCTTAATGCAGAACTATACGTACCCATTTAGAGAGACACTGTCCTTTTTTTTACCCCTTTGTTTGTATGAGAGAAACTAAATTCTGATAATATATTATTGTCTGGGGGCAGCTAGGCATTTCCAAAAAATGACTCTTGATGAATCATTAAAAATCAGACATAAGAGAAACTGCCTCTATTCCTAGAATCAAGCACTTATGTTCCAGCTTGTGTTTCACAATCGTTAAAAAAGACAACGCTAAGAGAGGAGTAGATAAAAAAAAGGGTGGAGTGACGAGAAAAGCACAACAGAACTGCAGAGAGCAGCCAGAGACACCTTCATCGGCCTCGGTGATGCCGTGGGGAGAACTGATACGGAATGACAACAAAGAGAAGCCAGGGTGAGACAAATCCCAGCAGAAATGCTCTCGTGGAGGAAGAGAGGATACATGGCAAAGCAACGGGTCAAGATGTAGCAACAAACAGCAAACATCCAGCATTGGACACCTCTCTGTCACCCTCTGTCAGGACGAACAGAGAAGAAGAGGATAGGAGACAGATTACACCTCAAGGCCTTGATTCAACACAATGACAAAGACAGAGAGATGCAACTGTATATATTCCTACACTGTTCAGAGAGTCAACACACACACACACACACACACACACACACACACACACACACACACACACACACACACACACACAGTCAGGATGCAGGTTATTACACAACCTGGATGATGTCCCTGTCACTGTTCTCCACTTTGTTTTTACCTATCTCTGTTTCAGCTCGTCAACCCTTCAGCCATCATTAAAATAATTAAAGCTGCAGTTAATTGATTATTATTTGTTTAACTATACTAATAATTATTTAAATGATATTTTAATGATGAATAGTTTATTTCAACTTAGGTCTTATTTTGATAATTTTGATTTTACTGAGATCTGTGAACACAGTTACATCACCACATCAAAATCCCACAGTGCAGTGTGCAGATTTTGGATATTTGTGTTTCTTGACCCATCTGACTTATTATGGTGGAGGGGTTTGTGCATCCATGTGCACCTGGGAGCTGTGTTGTCTCAGTAGATCCTGGTAGGGTCTCCCAAGGCAAATTGGTCCCAGGTGAGGGGCCAAACATGGGAGGGAAGTTCGCCTGTGAATTGTGTTCCCAGATATAAGCAATATATTTGGTGAGTATGTATACCAATTTTCAAATATAAGATTGAATCGGTATTATCTTTTAATGAACACTTAAAATAAAAGTGGCATCAAAGTACATTGAGGAAGAAATAAAAACAGCACAGCAACAGAGAGTGTTTGGGATTAGCTGAAAGGAGGAAATTTCCTTCTGTCTGAGCCCTGGATAAAGCAAATTCCAAAAGTCCAACAAAGATATGGACATGGATGACTTTGTAAGATCTGTTGAACTTGATTTTGGCTAAAATTCCAAGAAAACATGTTTGTGTGATTCTGTTCACTTGGAGATCAAAGATTACCCCCCTTAATCTTTGATTCCAGATTACTGAGCAGACAGTATTCTTCCGGGCATAGTATAGTGTCCCCCAGGAAATGATTTAGCTGAGAGGGTTAGCCAGCCAGATCCCGATACATCCCCTCTCTTGATCAATTTAAGTACTCAATGAGGCCTAAATACTGTAGGGAATCTGGTACCTTTAAAGTACTTCTGATAGCGATAGGCCTGACAACAGATAGAAGCAGTGAGCACTTTGTTGTGGATTGTTACAAGATCAGATTGCATTGTTAAAAGTAGCTGTGGAGAACTGTGGAACTGCTGTTTATAAAAGTGCTATATTAAAGTTTACTTATTTACATATCTATACAGACAGCGATTTCCTCACTTTTGCTCCCTGGTTTGACACATTCCAGCTACTGTATCTTGACTACTTATTCTATCTGTATGCAATAAGCATTGTGTTGAACTTTTACTACCCATGACAAAGAGATTGACCTATCCCGCAAACGTACTATCTCTGTCTTTTCACATAGTAAATCACTAGTCGCTAACCTCTGAATTTTAATGCTTCTTTTAAAAGTGGCTGGAGAAACGACCTTAAGTCCTGAAAAAGAATCTGTGGTGGGTGGCTGCCTTTAAACATGGAGCTAAGCCATCTTACAAAGTGCTCTTTTGTGCCCTGTTTTCAATTGATTAACTGTTGTTTGCTGACTCAGAAAGAGAGAGCACCGCTTAGGATAATCCCTCCTCAAGATCAGCGCAAACTGCACACAAACATGATACAAAGCAGTAAACGGCAAGGAGCCGCGGATACACGTCTGACTTCGAAAAGAAAGAGAAGCAGAAAGCTGCAGCTCAACATACATCACATCCCGCTTCAGGGATTGTTTTAGCACATTTTTGGGAGAAATCCTCCAGTTTGACCTAAGAGGAGGCTCAGCAGCGAGGCTTAGAGATTTACTGATTGTTTTGGTGTTACTTGACCTCATCTCAAGTAATGGAGGCAAACAGTGTCATGGGACTGTTTTGCAAGTTGATTACAGCTCAAGTTGATTACAGTTTGTCAGCTATGGAGAAGGACACTGATGCATCAGTACAGTCAGCTTCACAAAGTGACTCGCAAAGACACAAAACATCTGCACCAGATTTGGGCAGAATACAGGCACAATGTACTAATTTGTTTTGTAGTTAAAGGAGCATTAACATTTTTCAACATGCCAGACTCACCTGCAGGTCCATCATAACAAACCAATTTTTATTTTACAAAGCAGCAGAGTGCCCAGAGATACCAAATATACATTAGAATACACTTATGAAATATGTAAACATTGAAAATATTTACATATGGTTAATATGATCCAGGTTTTCTTTAACATTTGAATTTACTGTTACCATTATTCAAATGTAGTGTGACAATAGCCAAATGCTCCGTCTTAACGCAGGTTATTTGTCATTGCCCTCCAAAACCAACCATATGAGCTTCATACTGGGGGTTAGGCAACTAAATCTAATCGGTTATGGTCAGGGAAAACTGGTCTTGGTAAAAAGAAACTGTGAAAATGTAAATATAGTTGGTTTGAGGCATTGACACAAAATGTGAGATAGACAAATCTGTGACAATCTAAAAGAGAGAGATAAACAACATAGGTTGTAATATCATTCAATGTGGACTAAATGTATAAAATTGAGGGACATTTAAGTTTATAATTAGGGTCCAAAATGTCATAGCAACTTGTGCACACATCTATGATTACACCCCTTCAGACCGTTTTCTGCTTTACATGAAACTGCAAGTGAACAGAACACCTTTTGATTTGTTTAGTATGCCATTTGAAAATGATTGAACAGGATTGAGATTGACTCTGCAAGATCTGGTTAAAAGAATGTATCAATTGTGTTACATGGATTTTGGAAAATCAAAATGAAAAATATAAAAAGAATAATAACTATTATTATTATTATTATTATTATTATTATTATTATTAAAAAGTGTTTTCAAAGGTTTCTGAAAATGACAAAAGTACAAAGAAGTCTGGCTGTGTTGCACCCAAATATGATTAAAGCTCATATGTACATGAAGAAGATTTATATCAGTTATCACCCAACTGTAATCATTTGACTTTGGTTCACTCCCCTGATAGGAGTGACTTGGATTCTTTTAATCTTCTTCTACAAGTGATCACAGGTGGAGTGAATGAAACCTTGTCGTTACTAAGCCCCCCACTGATGGAGGAGGAGGTGCTGTGGCTTACTTACATCAAATAATCTCTCTATGTACACCTCCTCATTGACCTTCTCGCGCAGCATGTCCTGGGAATGGCGAACAAATGTCACATAGCCATCAGCAACGTCCATCCCCGGCTTCTACAAGGAAGAGAGAGAAATCAGGAATTTGCATTTGCATCCTATGGCTTCAATTAAGAGCTAGAACGAGTAGAATAGCAATCAGAAGTCTGTCGCCTGTCGATGGCGTCATATCCCCTTTGTGCCTGCGTCAGCGTTGTGGTTGTCTGCCAGAAGCTGTCATACATTGACTGTTTATCCAGTTAGAAGCCACATTGTTACCATCCACTGTTTAGATCTTGGTGCTTTTTAACTCTAGATTTGAACCGGATGAAGGATTTTAGTCATCGGACGTCTGGATCTTAAGTTATCAGAGAAACAAGCTGAGCTAACGTTAGCAGCAGCTCGGCTCGCAGCCCCTCACTGCAGCAGTGAGTCAATCTCCATAAGGCCACATATTACAATACCCAACCTTACAGCAGCTTAAAGTTATGCATAATTAAGGGAGTGGCTGCTTTGAGTGACAGGTGGGTGCAGTCACAGGTAGCTGTTGTCAGTAACCAGGCTTCATTCAGCCCGCCTTAGCTCCACCCACGTTCCACCTCTTTGACCATTTTTATATTAGCCAGGAGCTAGTGGAGTAGGGGCTGCCAAGGGCAAAAGCCGACCACACCTTTGCTTCACAACAGCTCTTCACAAACCTATGGGTGACGTCATGGACGCTGTGTCTATTTTTAATTATACAGTCTATGTTTATCACCCAGTATTCTTTTCTTTTAGTAAGCATTACTTAAATTATTAATTATGGAAAACAATGACCAAGACCTGCTCTATTTGAAAAGTATCCTGAGATAACTTCTGTTATGAATTGGCACTATACAAATAAAATTGAATTGAATTGAATTGAATTGAAGATATGTTGTGGGACATGTTCCAGATGAAAAGTAAACTTGTCAGTGCTCTCTAGTAGAGTAATGGAGACACTGTTAAATAACCAAAAACATATATCGTTTTATTGGTTGGTCTCTAGCCAAGAGATGTAGCTATGCACCAGTTAAAAGCAGAGGTTGCTGATATAACATAGATATTAACAGTGAAGGAAATATTCTTAAACATTGGGTAAGCCAGGGGCTGGCAGAGTCAGGACTGCCGAGATGGTGACGGACAGAGCCGAGGACACTGAGCACAGAAACCACCCATGCAAGGAACTTCGTCCTTTTGACAAAACAATAAAACTGATGACACCCCATCAGCTGCACTTTGTGTTTAGTGCTAATGAGCAGATACACAAACATGCTAAAGATGGTGACAGCGATTTAACATTATGCATAGGATCATCACGTTCAAAAGTACAGCTGTGCCCACAAAGCTGAACAGCTTCACAGAGCTAAGGACCAGCTAGCTCTTACTCTTGTTTTAAAATACATTAGGTGACAAATGTATTCCAAATAAGTAGGAGCCAATGATATTAACATTCAAACTGAGATGGTTTTCTGAAATGTTAAGTTATTATAGGGAGAAAAGCAAGAAAGTTTGCATCTCCAAAGAAGTGTTTCATTTACAAGGATGCAGACTCAGGGCTACAGGGCAGTTGTGTTCTTCCATCAGCTCTTGTCAGAGAGTTGAGCTTGGCTGGGAACCAGCCCTCACAGTCTGGGCATGTGCAAAGTGAACAGGGGCACTCAGTCTTCCTGCCATTCTGACATCTAAAATATTCACTGAGGACAATGCATTTGTTAAACAGCACCTTAGTTGTCTTTCTTATATTCATATCATATCTTACCATTTTCATAATAACATTCTTTAAACCTTTTGCTCTCAGTTTCTCTCCTTTGTCCATCTCATATGCAAAGAACTTCTGGCTAACTGCTACCAAACATAGTTAACACATCTGCAATGATGCTTACAATGTGTAAATGAGTGTCTTTTTTACCAGTGAAACTCTAATTTTGTACATTAAGGACACAATTAGCATGCTGGGCTGGAAACTGCGACCCCTGCCAGCGTACACAGTGCCTTGTCGCATTCACTGACAAGGCATTAATTTGAAATTTGGCATGCTGATAGGGCCGAAGTGTTGGCAGCTAATACAGATCTGATGCACACACACCACCACCACTGCCACCCTGACAGCAGAATGGGCATGTGTTGTACAACATGGACTCACAATGTGTACTGCACAGAGAGAGAGGCACAAGGCATGGCTGCCTGGCCACATGCAAATGAATGGACATTTGGGGGTCGGTGGGGGAGGAATGGGGGGGTCTGATGTGGAAATACAACAACTAATACCATCTGGATTATGATTCTACATGTGAAAGCATGGTCAAATATTTGTATATGCACAAGAAACACACAAACACAATACTGGGGAACAAGATGCCTTCATGTTAATCCTCAAAACCCCCTTAAAAGTATTTTTTATATAAAGATGAAAATGAAATGTACGCTTAAAAGAGTAAAATACCAAGATCTAATCCTCAATAGACCAATGTATAAATGTTGTTATTGGTCTAGTTTTACATATACATAATAATGCTAATAGGTTTAAGTGGTATAGTGACAGCTAAGGAGTGGCGAGAGAGAGAGAGAGAGAGAGAGAGAGAGAGAGAGAGAGAGAGAGAGAGAGATAATAATGTAATAAATAACTAAAAGCTGGTGATAGTCGGATGGTTTTATCAAATTATTCTTTTAAAAGTGTGTCATAAACTTAGAGATACTGGAGAGCACAAGGTTTAAAAAGACAGTTTTAAAAAAAAAACCCTAACCCTATTTACACCTGTTATTTGAAGTACTATAAAAATGTCAAACAATGTTGTTTACATTTAGTGATTTTCAACTAAATACACTCTGTACCTTTTCTTCCTCCTAAAACACTGACAATACCAATTTTAAACAATATTTCAAAACCTGCATTGTTAATATCCATGTTTACAGATCAACAAGCTCTGCTTTTTACTGGTGTTTAGCTATGTCTCTTGGTGAGGTTTGGTGAGACCAACTAATAAAACAGCCCGGAAAGTGTATTTATCAATATTAGTTTATCTCAGATATTTTGGGATTGGTGTCAGCTAATAAGTAACAAGTATGTGCAGTATAGAAAATACAAAAATACATGTTTATGGTCATTTAAAAAAAAGTGTCTCCATTACTCCACTAGAGAGCACTGACAAGTTTACTTTTCAACTGGAAATGCTCAGTACATATCTTAGAAGAATATTGGGTGTTAAACATAGACAGCATAATTAAAGCTGGACGTAGTCTCTGTGACGTCCCCCATAGATTTGTGAAGAGCCCTTGTGAAGCTCAGTGTGGTCGACTCTGGCCGTTACCACCTTGGCAGTCCTGACTCCACTGGCTCTGGACTGATCCAAAAATGGTCAAAGAGGTGGAGCGTGGGTGGAGCTGAGGTGGGCTGAATGAAGCCTGGTTACTAAAAACAGCTACCTGTGACTGCACCCACCTGTCACTTAAAGTGGCCACACCCTTAATTATGGTAAACTTTAAGCCTTAATATCATTTAACAGGTGGGTTGTATAAAAAGTCACCCCCTGTACAGTTGTCATGAATGGGGGGATTGAATGGCTTTGGCTCAGAGGAAGAGCGGGTCGTCCACTAATCAGAAGTTGTTGGTTCGATCCCGAGCTCCTCCCGCCACATGTCAAAGTATCCTTGAGCAAGATATTGAGCCCCGAATTGCTCCCGATGCTGTGTATGAATGTGTATGAATGAGTTAGTCTCCGTTTGATTGCCTTTGCCATCACTGTGTGAAAGGGTGAATGTGGCATGTAGTGTAAAAGCGCTTTGAGTGGTCGGAAGACTGGAAAGGTGCTATACAAGTACAGGTCCATTTACCATTTACTAAATTAGCTATAGACACCAAAACAGTTTTTTGTACCAGGCTGTAAACATGTTTATTTCTGCTGTAAAGTTAGACATTTTAATATAGGGCTTTATGGAGATTGACTTACTTCTGGAGCCAGCCTCAATTGGCCAGTAGAGCAACTGCAGTTTTTGGCACTTCCATGTCTTAGCTTCGTTTGCCACCCAAATACTTTTTTCCATTTTTTTTCTAAAATATTGAGATTGGTATTACATTAAAAATGCAACATTGACCAGACTACAGTTCTGCCAGAATAGAGCAACTTTCAGAGATATATCACGTCCTGGTGCTGAGATAATAAAAGATTATTATTTCTGTGAAGCAAAGTTATAAAAGAGGGTCCTTCTTTTATAACATTGCTCCACAGAATTGTCAATAATGACAGGGTACCTTTAATATGCAATCAGTGTCTTGATTCATTATCTGGATAACGTCTGATTACCAGGCCTTACATATGCTGCTGGTATTAGTAAGGATTTTGTTCCTTTGAATGTGGCCAAACTATATCTGATCTGATCACAATTCAATTCAAAATTGATTCCTGATCACAATCACTTCTCAAATGTGCTAAACCATTCACTCATGTTAATTTGTTGTGTGATTGCTGCAAGCATGTAGTTGATTATTCAGTATTTTACATTTTGGCTCATAACTCATGAACTGTTAGGAACAGAAGGAACACTTTTATACAATGGGTTCCTTTGATAATGCTAATTTGACTGAAAGGCTACGTCCATTTTCATTTTGAAAAACATTACACTAGTTTGGATTTCTTGTTAAAGACATTTTTTGCTTCTTTTGGCACATATTTCATCAAATCTTCACCATAATCGGTACATAGCATGTTAAGATGAAGCCGAACAAGACTTATAGGTGCGTGTTAGGTTATAGGTTCAATTTGTGTGTAATTGGTTACCTAACTTTTGAAGGTGTAGCCCGATGCACTTAACGGGCCATAACTTCTTCAGTGCTCAAATGGATTATAGCCAAATTTTACAGCCAGTGTGCCTGAAATTTCACACAGTTCTTTCAACAAGGGGCGCTACAGTGACAATATGCATACATTTCTGTTGTCTTTAATAAGGTGAAACTTGGTACACAGCTTCCCTACAAGCACGACATATTGAAGCATGACACCAATAACTTTACTTTTTGACCATTAATGAAATCCCACCATATTTTTTGAAGTATTTAATTATCACCAATTTTGGGTGGTATCTTCAGACAGGAATCACAAACACTTCTGGCTGGGACTTTCTCAGAAGCTGGACCAGCGAGCAGCGGTAGCACCAATAGCACCAGACACACCCTTCACACGCATTTTATTTTTTTCCTATAATATCCACTCAACTAACGCATGAGTAAGGTTTTTATGTGTCTGCCAAGTGTTTTAGCAGTCATAGTTTAATCTATTTTGTATGAGACAGCATCGATTAATGAGATGATTAAGGCATTTAAGCTTTAATAACTATACACACAGAAAAAAAAGTCTCACTTACAGGTACATCCACGTACTTGGAAGCAGCTTTCACCTTGACATAAAGGAGAGAGAAGTGGGTGAGAAAACAGTGAGGACACCAGCTGTGGCACCACTTTTCAGGACACAGGCTGCCATTGCGCGACTGTACAACCCTTAGTTTAGTGCCTGCTGAACTGGCAACAGTGACTCACACGGTGATTTCAGCTGTAAAAGTGCACTCACAAATTCAATAAGCCGGCTTTTGTCATACTGTGGGAAACCAGCTGAAGTGTTAAGATATTGTGTGCTCATGAAGAAGTCAAAAAAAGTCAAACTGTATGAACATTTACATGAAAGATTACAATGAAAAAAACACAATACTAAAATACAGCATGATTTAGTCACTATTAAATTGAATTTAAAAGCTATTTTGTTAAGGTGATGATCTAAGCTCCAGCTTCTAAATTCAGTCATATTAACACAGAATGGAAATGGCAGTGAAAATGAAGAATATCATCATTGCATACACATATTATTATTTTTCATTGCAAGTATTCCAAGTATGCTAGCTCAAAGTTTTTCATGCAACTAATTTTAATGTTGCATTGTTATCACTTCCAAATCAGCAAGAAAAGGATTGTAACGAAAGTGTATCTGTGCTACTTACTGTGAAAGATAGGAAAGAAGAGAAGAGTGTTCCCTCGTCGTATCTGGAGAGCTTGGCTAACACGCTCTCTAAAATGACCACAAACTGAGAACAAAGAGGAGAGGAAAAAAGCAGCAGTGGAATTACTTATGGAAATACAGAAAGTACAAACAGTCTATTACGATCAAAAGTCTTCTTTCTTGCAGTTGTGACCAGTGTTTAACACAGTAGTCTATTTTGCTGTCATTATATCTCTCTTTGTCGTCATTTTAAGTCTCCTTGAGTCTCTTTGCAGTTGTTTTGTGTCTCTTTGTGGTCGGCTGTGGCTCAAAAGCAGAGCGGATCATCCACTAATCGGAAGGTTGTCGGTTCGATCCCCGACTCCTGCCGGCATGTGTCGAAGTATCCTTGAGCAAGATACTGAATCCCAAACTGCTCCTGATGCTGTGCATCGGTGTGTGAATGTGTGTGAAAGGGTGAATGTGGCATGTAGTGTAAAAGCACTTTGAGTGGTCGGAAGACTAGAAAGGCGCTATACAAGTACAGGTCCACTTACCTTTGTCTCACTATGGGGTCCCTCAGGGCTCTGTTCTGGGTCCCTTTCTCTTTACGTGGCTGTTCTTACCACATAACACTCAACTAATTCTGTAGTTTTGTCTTAAATTGTCTTAAACCCAGATGGCAGCACAAATCTCTGTGTGTCTTTGTCATTGAGTCTCTTTGTAGTCGTTTTGCGTCTCTTTGTGGTTGCTTTGCGTCTTGTTGTGGTTTTGAGTCTCTGTGGTTGTTCTGAGTCTTCTTGAGTCTCTTTATAAATGTTTTGTGTCCCTTTGAGGTTGTTTTCAGATTCTTTGTAGTTGTTTTTAGTCTCTTTGTTGTCATTGCCTCACTATGGTCATTTTGAGTCTCTCTGTGGTTGTATTGCGTCTCTTTGTAGAAATTTGACTGTCCAACAATATATGTTACCCATTACTTCAAATGCAATGTTATTTAAATTTACACTGTATTTTATACCTTAGCTACCAGCAGAGTTATCATCTCCTTCACCGTCTCTTCAATTAGATTGTCAATTTGGGAATGGTATTGTCTCTACAGAGGAAGAAAAGAAAACATGTTACTCTTCTCACCCACACTTAATAACCCCACTATGAAGTGACATTAAAGGGAAACACTAGACATTTTTATTTGAATTTATTTCATATTTATTATTCATTTATTTTGAGTTAATGTTTTGCCATGAGACTGTTATTCATTATCTTCTGTAAGAGCACCAATTTGGCAAATTTGACTATCGTAGTTATAATATCACAGTGACATGTTACTGATGAGTACATAGGACAAGGAGAACTAGCCCCCCACAAGTTTTTTTAAAAGAATCTCATCGACAATTGTGTCACAGTCAAAGAAAAGGCCAGTTTCTTGGATTCTCAACTGGAAATTCCACTACAACATTTTATGAAATACGTTCATTTTACTGAGGCTCAGATGAGAAGCTCTGTCTCATCGCTTTGTGTCCAGTACATAGATGTATGCAGGACATAAGCTCAGCTTAACTCAAAGACCTGTAAGCAGGGGGAAATTGCTAGTTTTGGAAGCTCTGGATTTGTTTCCTATCTTGATAAGCTTTAGTAAACATGTACCAAAAGTACTGGATGGTACATGTAATTGATATTGATCTTGACTCATCTCATCAGATTCTGATAACATGGAAAAAAACAAGCATACAGTATTATTCAAAATGTAAAGTTATCCTGATAACTCAGCAGATTTCCTACTGTTACTGATTATGTCAACATTACTATGTATTTGAACCTGAAATTCACAGCTGAAGATCAACTGGATCATGATAAAAAAAGAGAAAATAATCAGACACTGAAAGCAACAAGTGGAATGTCCATCATGATTTGGGCAGACCAGTGGTTCTCCTGTGGCCATCACATGTTGATGCTGGTACAGGAGGAGAGCCTGAGCTACGGAAAGAGAGAATTCACACAGGATGTGGCAAGTGTAAAAGTGCTTTGAGTGGTCAGAAGATTAGAAAGGTGCTATGCAAGTACAGGTCCATTTAGTATTATAATATAAATGGAAATTCTGATTTTTCATTCAAAATAAAGAATCCATAATTAGTTTCCTGTTTTTTTTTTTTTTTTTTTTTTTTTTTACATTAAATCCTATCATATATTTGTTTCAGGTTTGAAAAGCCTTTTTATTTTGGCCTACTTATTGATGAATTACATTAATAATTTAATAGTTGTTTTAGTTGCATGTAAATGTGCTTTAGAACTATTTTCAAGGCACCCGAGGTTGTTCTCTAAAGAGAGCAGAGCCCAGTGAAGGATTTTGGAACGATTAGTCCTGCTAAAGAGCTGCTGTCATGGAAACTCAGTGGCAGCATCACTGCGAGGAATCCTTTTGTTTAGCCTTGTAGCACCAACAGAACAGCGAAGGACTTAGCCATAATTAATTCATCGTCAGTAATTGGTATCAGTCTCGAGATTCTGCGAAATATGAGATCTCTCACTTCTACCCCATGTATATTCAATACTATCTACACATATGCTAATGAAATCCAAACAATTCAAGTGGAGGAAGACAGACAGGGAAAACTGATGACTAATTATACATTTGGGAACCGGAGGGTGAGATTTCAATTGAATTCATAGCCACACTTACCCAGTGTCTAACAAACTTTCACAAGAGACAGAGGAGGGAAAAAAAGAAAAGCAGAAAGATAGAGGTGACATGGAACATTTAAAATTATGTGAAAACTGCAAAAGAAGTAAGAGACAAAGAAAGAAATAAAGCTGTTTTCAAGTAGGACAAAAAGGAGGGGAAAAAATAAAAAAGGACTTTCTCACCTTTATTTGTCTATGCCATTCACAATACAAACAAAATTAATTTATTTTCATTCAGCTCCAAAACGTAGTGACCTTTAAATTATATGAGATTTAAACTGGGAAGCTGTATGAAGTCAACTGCAGCCTCAAACTTTAAACGATTTAAACAGACCTCCCACTCTTTTAAAGAAATTAGTTTCCAGGGCGTATTTATTGTCTCCTACCTCCTGCCCCAGGTCCATGGCACACAGCTTGGCTGACTGGGCCTTGGCATCCACCATGACGTTGAACATGGTGCAGATGGACTGTGGCACACGAAAGTCTGTGGCCCGGCTGCTCTTCTGAAGCTTGGCCTCGAACGCTGCCCGTGTCCTTTAGAGAAGGAAAGGAATGTAGCCAGAATTTTAGATAGGACATTTTGGTGGAGAAATACTGAGCCCCTCAAGAAGTCAAATTTAAATATATTAAGTATATTAATTTCCCAGCAAGCATTTCGTTTTTTTTAAATTGTGTAATGTAAACCCCAAATTATTAAAAAACAACAACAAAAAAAAACTAGGTGTAATCAATGGTAACTATGGCCAATGGTGGAAATACAGTTTTAAGGTACTCGAACTAGAATATTTCCATTTCATGCTGTTATTTATTTAATTTACCACAATATCCTCAACAATTCATGACACAAAGTAATATTTTCTATGACTCATTAATCAGTTTTATTTTGTTTTTAAAAGTAGCATAAGGGAACTATATCTAAATATCTATAACCTGCAATTTAATGACATCTGCCAAGAAGGTGCATTGGCTGATCTAAGACATGTAATCCCACTTTTTTTTTTTTTGTTTACCTTGCAATCGTTGTGAAAAAAGATAAAATGATTGCTGGCCAAAAAATAAGAAAGATTAGACTTGTATTTTGCTCTGTGAACAATAACTCATACCCAAAGCATACTGAGGCACATCCCTTGCACAAATTAAACAGTCTTTAATAATGGACGTTACCCCAGGGCATGTAAAAACCAAATGGCAGCTCACATATATAGCAAGGCTCCTGGATAATTATCACAGGTGCATTCAATAAAGTGGGGATGTACAAAAATATGTAGATTCTCACAAGGCATCAATATCTTTAAGATTGGCAAACATAAAAATTTAACCTCACTTTATTTTTGGTCTCATGATACATCCTTCATCCAAGAGCACCTGTTTTTGGATTGTCTCATACCTGCTTTTGTGTAGTAGTAATCACCTGGCATTTGCTCCCTCTATAAAATAATTGCTGCCATCCTGGTTCAGAGTATTATAAACAAGTGGTTTCATGTATTTTAGTTTTCTTACACCCCTTAAAATCAAGAAGGCCTTGTGACCAACCCTTTAAGCTTTGGCGACCCCTTGTGGGGTCTGTTATAAACTATTGTGCCACGGTTCGGGATCTGATAAGCTTTCAAATTCATGGATATCAAATTGGACTTCCTGCATAGTATTTCATGGCTCACAGGAACTTGATGCAACCCAGTTTACAACATGTTACTACCAGAATATATACAAATGATTAACTGCTATATACTTGCAATAAGATGGTTAAAAGCTACATTTAAACAACATGTTACCGTTTTACACAGGATTCAATCATGTCACTGGACATCAGCTTCAGTCGGGTCTCCAGGTGTTTGCCAAACTCTTCCTCCGGCCAGTGTAGATCTCTGATGAAGGTCTGCAGAGCATCTAGCTTCCAGAAGAGATCCTCGGAAGTCCCTGAGCCATTACTTGCAGGTCAAGCCACAGGTCAGAATTAAGCAATTTAAAAAGAGTGTTGAAACAGGGGAAACAGGAAGCAGGAAGTTAGATTGCCTCAGACATTCTTTTTAATTGAACCTACAGTACTGAGATGGTAGTTATCTGATAGTACTGGTTATAATGTCATATTTTTGTCAAAGCGGTATCACTGGTAACAACACTTGAACGCAATTATTTCAGTTATTTTAACATAGAAAAATAGTTGAAACAGATTACATCGAACATTTTACGTAATATTCAGTTCTGTAAGTTAAGTCTTGATCAAGTACTTTTTACTAGGTGTTTTCACAGTATAAATAAAAATTACAAAACTGGGTTAGTTTTACCTAAAATGTTTGATGTATCAGTTTCAACAGAGTTTTTCACTTTTTACAGTGAATGATGGATTCCAAAACATGAAATAAGGCTCAGATGGACCCTGTGTACCATGCTCAATGTGAAGACTATATGCACTTCAGCATAGTCTGTGCTGAGGGGAAGCAGGATCCATACTAACACTGTAAAACACACTACACTGTGAGCAAAGGTGAAAATGTATGCACGTTCCGTCCTGTCATTTACACACCAAGCAGTATTAGTGGGTTAGACTGTGTGAACGTGTGGGTGCAGGATACTCATCTTTGTACTGTATGTGTGATGGTTAGTGCTAGCATAGAACAGACAGGACAAAGCACAGAGTGTGCAACTGCATTCATTTTGTGTATTTCACAACACAGTTGATCAAAATAGAAACCAGAGGAAGGGTGAAAGATGAATGTCATTATTCTCTACTGGAAAGATTTCAGGATTCCCACTCATTTTAAGAAAACCTATTTCAAGATACCAAGAGGTATATTGGTCAATGCAATAAAAACCTTTATCTGCACATAAAAATCCAATTCATTAATTTCCAGAACACTTTTTGAGCAAATTCAAAGCATTAAAACAACAGGTTTTCCAGGATGTGTGGGAACCCTCAGTTTGTTGATGTCAACTGGGAAAAAGGGGTCACAGGTTTGGGTAAAGTGAAGGACTGCTAGTATCAGGATTAACAGCAGTGCTGCTGCTGCTGGCTTCTTATTACCACTGACAACATTAGCACTTCCTTCAACAGCTTTAAACTCAAAAACCCAGTCCCAGCAGGCTGAAGCACAGTGCAGGGACAAATTCAGACACAAGGGGACACCCTCCTCAACCATCTACCTGCCAGGGCCAGGACGTTACAACATCAGGTAACTGAGGGGAAGGCATTGGAATGGAAACATGTGAAAAGATGCAAGTTCCATAGCAGGACAGTAGCTACTACTCTCTGGCTCTGTCAGTCTTTACAGTGTGTAAATTTGTAATTCTGTTGGAAATGTGGTGTTGAAACATGATGCCAAATTTATTATTAGAGAATACATTGATCTAAATAAATTATTTATTTATTATTAAAAATAAAAGCAGACCTCCAGGACTGCCTTTTTGCATTAACGTAATATTACAAAAATTAGACACATCCTGTCACAGACGGATGCAAAACAACTAATCCATGCATTTGTTACTTCTAGGCTGGATTACTGCAACTCTTTATTATCAGGTTGCCCCAATAAGTCCATTAAAACGCTCCAATTAATTCAGAACGCTGCAGCACGAGTACTGACAGGAACTAGAAAAAGAGATCACATCTCTCCTGTACTAGCTTCTCTGCATTGGCTCCCTGTAAAATGTAGAATAGAATTTAAAATCCTCCTCCTCACCTATAAAGCTCTTCAAGGTCAGGCCCCTTCATATCTTAAAGAGCTCATAGTACCCTATTACCCCACTAGAACACTACGTTCTCTGAATGCTGGGCTACTTGTGGTTCCTATAGTCTCTAAAAGTAGAACAGGAGCCAGAGCCTTCAGTTACCAAGCTCCTCTCCTGTGGAACCAGCTTCCAGTTGTGGTTCGGGAGGCAGACACCCTCACCACATTCAAGAGTAGGCTTAAGACATTCCTCTTTGATAAAGCTTATAGTTAGGGCTGGATCAGGTGAGTCCTGAACCATCCCTTAGTTATGCTGCTATAGGCCTAGACTATCGAGGGATTTCCCATGATGCACTGAGCTCCTCTAACCCTCTCCCTCTCTTTCTGCACACATTCATGTCCCATTAATGCATGTTACTAACTTCACTTCACGTCATCATCATTATCTTCTTCATGTTCTTCAGTCACTGCTATTATTGTAGTTGTTGCTACTGTTGATGCTGTGCACCTTTGTCTATGTCTCTGTCCTTCTGTCGTTACCTCTGTTCTCTCTCTCTTTCTGTCTCTCACCCCAACTGGTCGGGACAGACGACCACCCACCTAGAGCCGAAGGATCTGTCCTAGGTTTCTGCCTCTTAAAAGGCAGTTTTTCCTTGCCCTTGTCGCCAAGTGTCTTGCTCATGGTGGTACTGTTGGGTCTCTGTAAATAATGTTATAAAGAGTTCGGTCTAGACCTGCTCTATTTGAAAAGTGTCCTGAGATAACTTCTGTTATGAATTGGCGCTATACAAATAAAATGGAATTGAATTGAATTGAATTAAGGAAACTCTAAAAGACACGTGTTTGTTGGCAGTTCTAAATAAATAAAAAATCCAGTGTGTAACATTTAAGAGGATCTATTGTCAGAAATGGAATCTAATATTCTAATGCGTCCATTAGTGTATAATCACCTGAAAATATCAATCTTTGTGTTTTTGTTACCTTAGAATGAGCTGTTTATCTACAGAGGAAGCGAGCCCTCTTCTGGTGGAGCCATATTGAACCGCCATGTCTCTACAGTACAAACCAAACACTGGCTCCAGATAGGGTATTCAAATGGTTGCAGTCTGGAAACACTAGGTGGCAATAAATCCTACACACTGGTCCTTTAACTAATATTAACAACCACAACAGCAATAGTGAAAGAGCTGCTTGCTAGTGTGAACCACGCAAATGTATTTTCAATTATTTTTTATGTTTGCATGAATGAGAATATCAACTGAACAAAAAGGAAAGGACTTTTCAAAAATGAAGTTAGCTGCAGGAAAGACGCTGTCCTGAGAAAAATTTGTCAGGATATTCTAGCCATGCATACCCTGTCCTAGGTGTTGCCTAGCAACGGAAGCAGCAAGAATTTGGAATTACAGGAAATATGTTCCATAATATTTAACATAAGATTATTAGTTAGGCTTGTAATTTTTCAACTTATAAGAAGTAGTTATATAATTAAAAACTGCAGCGTCATCAGATTGAAATTTAAACTTGTCTAATACTTTGTTCATTACCAAATACCTTTAGCCTTAGCTGTAGCCTATTTTGTGTGTATTTCTAATTAGTGGACAGGGACGCTGGAGGTCAGTCAGAGTTGGGGGTGGTGAAAGAAAGTCTGTCTGTGTAATGATGTCATATTAAATGCTAAAGTCATGACAGTCATGGTTTTTGCATTAATTTGAATGGCCAGGATAATTTAACAGCTATTAACAACATTTTACCCACATTTTATAACTTTTTAGTGGATAAAACTGATACAAAAACAAGGCAAAACCTTTTTCCTGCCATAAATACCAGTGTGTACATCTAAGTAAAGTAGAAAGTCATTATCATTTTAAACATCTTTATGAATGAATGGTTTTCATTATGCCAGATTTTAGGGGGGGGGGGCTGCAGCTCCCTCAGCACACCTACTTCCAGCACCCATGTTAGGGGATGTTGTATTAGCATGCTGCTGTTAGCATTTAAGTGCATTAACAAGCAGGGAAAACATTATGAATAGAGTTGAATCGAATAGGAGTAAATTACAAATATGTGAGTCTAGAAATTATATACCAGTAAAACCACATGCCTGCTAATTAGTAATTTCTCTAAGTATCAGCATGTAGAACATACAGTATATCCTCAGTGTTGATAATATGTAAGACTGTATTCATTAAGTTGCTCTTTGGTTTGTATTTTCTATCTCCTTGTTATGCTTTTGCATCTTTCCAGTCCATATAAAAATACATATGCAGGAGTGAAAATGTTGGGATTCCATTTCCAAGTCAGTGCCTTCTCCATCTGTCCACACACACCATGCCATGACGTTGGCATGAACGTCGCTTTTGGGCCTTTATAAACCCCAACAATAGGAGCAGACTAAAACAGCTATGTAGGTTCTTAAGTATTCATTTATGCACTGGTAAACCTGCCTCCATGGGTCTTTTTGGATCGCCAGTGTGGGTTTCTCTGCTAACTCTCCTGATCTCGGAGGGCGCAAATGAAACAAGTCTACCATCTCTGTTGGAATCAATTATTTCTGGAAGCGAATTGGTTACTTAATATAAAGTGAAGGTTTAAATGCAGTGCTCTTTTTTTTACAATGAAAGTTTCAGGACTGGTGTTTTTGAATGTGTATCCACGAGCCTCCAGATGAGGGAATAGGGATGGATGTGCTGCAGCGACAGCGTCACACTCTGCAGGATGCTGCAGCGCATGAAGGAGTTTTTACACCTCTGATCCCCGTCGTCGGTGCAGACAACGTTGCGCTGAAGTTCTCAAAGTGCTATGGATGATGTGTCAAGTGTTTATTGAGATATGCAGAGTGCTTTTAATGATAGCGCTCACACTGTCACATACATATTAATAGAAAGCCCTCACTGAAATCAGAATCTAGAAGCATTGTTCAAACAAAAAAAAATGAAGGAAATTTGAGTTTTATTTAAAAATGCTGCTAAAATGACTCTAGGTGGAACAGTTGTCCTCAAATATCAGAAAAGCTAACATAGTGCAGCTCATGAAAAGCATATTAAAATGCACATTTCTGTAAATATTTTCCTGAAAGAATGATTTATATGCTTTTTTGTTTTTTCTCTCTTTATAGCACTATTGTAAGTAGTGCTATAGAAAGTTTACTGACAATCTTACCTTTAATCAGTCAGAATTTCAGTCTGAAAACAGCTGCAACAGTTTCTATACCCTTAATAAATCATAATAATCATTTTTATCAAGTTTAGTCCTTAAATCAGATAAAGTAATTATTGTAGGTGATTTTAATATTCATGTGGATGTTGACAATGACAGCCTTAGTAACACATTTATCTCATTAATAGACTCAATTGGCTTCTGTCAGAGTGTAAATAAACCCACTCATTGTTTTAATCACACTCTTGACCTTGTTCTATCATATGACATTGATATTGAACATTTAATAGTCTTCCCACATAATCCTTTCCTATCTGACCATTATTTAATAACTTTTGAATTCATACTATTAGATTATAAGCCATTAGGCAAAACTTCCTACAGCAGATGTCTATCTGACAGTGCTGTAGCTAAATTTAAGGAGGAGATTCCTTCAGTGTTTAATTCAATGCCATGTCTGAATTTAACAGAGTCCTATAACGACTTTAGTCCCTCTGAAATTGATAATCTTGTCGATAGTGCTGCAGGCTCAATACGAAGAACATTAGACTCTATCACTCCTATAAAAAGGAAATTATTAAAACATAGGAAACTAGCACAGTGGTACAACCACCAAACCCGCCAGTTAAAGCAAATAGCTAGGAAATCTGAAAGGAAATGGCGCTCTTCCAAATTATCAGAATATCGCTCAATTTGGCAGGATAATCTTAAAACTTATGGAAAGGCCCTCTGTAACGCCAGAGGAGCCTATTACTCAGCACTAATAGAAGAAAATAAGAATAACCCTAGGTTCCTCTTCAGCACTGTAGCCAGGCTGACAGAGAGCCACAGCTCTATTGAGCCACATATCCCCATAAACTTAAGTAGCAACGACTTCATGAGCTTCTTTTATAATAAAATTATTACTATTAGAGAGAAAATTAGTCACAAACTGCCATCAGCAGTTATCAGTGGCTCTCCAAGTTCAGGAACTTTAACTAATGTAAACTCAGATATATATTTAGACTGTTTTTCTGCTATCGATCTTCATCAGTTAACCTCAATCATTTCTACATCGACAATCAATCTGTCTGTTAGACCCGATCCCAACTAGGCTGCTTAAAGAAGTCGTACCCTTAATTGGCACTTCTTTACTGGATATGATTAATCTTTCTTTATTATCAGGATATGTACCACAGTCCTTTAAAGTAGCTGTAATTAAACCCCTTCTTAAAAAGCCCACTCTTGACCCAGGGGTTTTAGCCAACTATAGACCGATCTCTAACCTCCCCTTCCTCTCTAAGATTCTGGAGAAAGTAGTCGCCAAAGAGTTGTGTGACTTTTTACATAACAATAGTTTATTTGAGGATTTTCAGTCAGGATTTAGAGTTCATCACAGCACATAGACAGCTTTGGTTAAAGTTAATAATGACCTTTTGATTGCTTCAGACAATGGACTTGTCTCTGTACTTGTATTATTAGATCTTAGTGCTGCATTTGACACCATTGACCATAATATTCTTTTACAGAGACTTGAGCATCAAATTGGCATTAAAGGAACCACACTAAGCTGGTTTAAGTCATATTTATCAGATCGTGGAGTTCCACAAGGTTCTGTACTTGGACCAATACTATTTACTTTATATATGCTCCCTTTAGGCAAAATTATTAGGAATCACTCCATTAACTTCCACTGTTCTGCAGATGATACACAGTTGTATCTATCAATCAAGCCCGATGAAATTAATCAATTATCTAAATTACAAACATGTCTTAAGGACATAAAATCCTGGATGAGCTGCAATTTTCTGATGTTAAACTCAGAAAAAAACTGAATTCTTTTAAATCTTAGAGACTCACTGTCTAAAGATATAGTTACTCTAGATGGCATTACCTTGGCCTCTAGCACCACTGTCAGGAATCTTTGAGTTATCTTTGATCAGGATTTGTCATTTAATTCCCACATGAAGCAGACCTCTTGGACTGCCTTCTTTCATTTACGTAATATTACGAAAATTAGACACATCCTATCACAGATAGATGCAGAAAAACTAATCCATGCATTTGTTACTTCTAGGCTGGATTACTGCAACTCTTTATTATCAGGCTGCCCCAATAAGTCCATTAAAACGCTCCAATTAATTCAAAACGCTGCAGCACGAGTGCTGACAGGAATTAGGAGAAGAGATCACATCTCTCCTGTACTAGCTTTTCTGCATTGGCTCCCTGTAAAATTTAGAATAGAATTTAAAATTCTCCTCCTCACCTATAAAGCTCTTATGGTCAGGCCCCTTCATATCTTAAAGAGCTCATAGTACCCTATTACCCCTCTAGAACACTACGTTCTCTGAATGCTGGGCTACTTGTGGTTCCTATAGTCTCTAAAAGTAGAACAGGAGCCAGAGCCTTCAGTTACCAAGCTCCTCTCCTGTGGAACCAGCTTCCAGTTGTGGTTCGGGAGGCAGACACCCTCACCACATTCAAGAGTAGGCTTAAGACATTCCTCTTTGATAAAGCTTATAGTTAGGGCTGGATCAGGTGAGTCCTGAACCATCCCTTAGTTATGCTGCTATAGGCGTAGACTATCGGGGGATTTCCCATGGTGCACTGAGCTCCTCTCTTCCTCTCTCTTTCTGCACTCATTCATGTCCCATTAATGCATGTTACTAATTTCACTTCTTCCCCGGAGTTCTTGTGCTTTCTCGTCTCGCAGGTTCTTATTGATCCTGGTGGAGCCTCCTGCCATGGTCCTGCTAGATTGCCATTGCCAATACTTTTGTTGCTGTGCACCTGTCTGTCTGTCTGTCTGTCTGTTTTTTCTGTCTGTCTGTCTGTCTCTCTCTCTCTCTCTCTCTCTCTCTCTCTCTCTCTCTCTTTCATGTTCATCGTCACTGCTATTATTGTAGTTGTTGCTACTGTTGATGCTGTGCACCTTTGTCTATGTCTCTGTCCTTCTGTCGTTACCTCTGTTCTCTCTCTCTTTCTGTCTCTCACCCCAACTGGTCGGGACAGACGACCACCCACCTAGAGCCGGAGGGTCTGTCCTAGGTTTCTGCCTTTTAACAGGCAGTTTTTCCTTGCCCTTGTCGCCAAGGTCTTGCTCATGGTGGTACTGTTGGGTCTCTGTAATTAATGTTATAAAGAGTTCGGTCTAGACCTGCTTTATCTGAAAAGTGTCCTGAGATAACTTCTGTTATGAACTGGCGCTATACAAATAAAATTTAATTGAATTGAATTAATAAAAGGAATTATAAAAAAGAGCACAGTATAGATGCACAACTAACTAGCTACAAATATATGTATTTATTCATTATTATTAACCACCCTTATCTTTCATCATCCCTCTACCATATTTTGTCTTCTTGTTCTTTATATCTGTCTTGCCTTTTTGGGGTTGTTATATTGCTTTCTGAGTATCTTGTTTTTGCTTTTGTAGTTGCTATATAAATACAATTATTATTTATTATTATTAATCAGTAGTAGCAGTAGCATTAGCAGTCGCAATAATAGTAATAGTAGTAGCAGTAGCAACAGCAGCAGTAGTAGTAGCAGTAGTAATATCAATAGTAATAGTAGGCCTATTATTAGCAGTAGCTGTAGTATTGGTAGTGGTAGTAGTAGTAACATATAAATGTTACAGGTAATCCTGCTGCGTTTGGGTCATATGACTTATGCCACATTCATGCCAAGGACATGTGTGCAGGTCTCAGGCTACACAAAGCAAATACACACACTGAGTCAGAATTAGCCATCATCCAGTTGGGCGGAGAGAAGCTGGGCATTTGTGGGAGGTTAACACTTGGCACTGTTATATTTGGTACTTTAGGCATTTGGAGGTTAACATTGGGCAGAGTGCTCGTTATACTCCTGTAGAGAGAAACAGAGTCACAGGAGACAAAGAACAGAGATTCAAAGCTGATGATTAAGTTAAAGTCACACTTTAAACATACTGATTTGTGATATTTGATATACCCATTAGCACTTATAGATCCAAAACTATCCCAGCTCACTGCAACTTTAAAACCCAACCAATATGTAAACTGGAAAATACTAGCAAAATGCAACACACAGTAGAACTATAAGAGTGGACAGGAATTGTGCTAGAAATATGGTGTCCTAGTCCTAAAGTGGTATTTGGGGTTCAGCAGCATTTCATTGATTCAGAATCAAGTATTCAGTATCTGCTCTATGAAACACATATTAGAGAGAAGTAAATGTAGCTAAAAGTTGTCAGTTATATAATGTAAGATGCATTCATCATGATGTTAGTCAATTATTTGACATATTCTACTTTGGTGATGTTTTTAGTTTTAAAATTGTAACAGTACTGGCCTTGTTTTATTTCCTCTTGAAAGTAAGTTTTACAGTATTTACCAAAATATCAACATCAGTAGACAGTATACATAGACAGGATATACAGTATAGTACTGAAAAAAAACCTAACGTGACATCGCTCATTGGTTTGTGGAGTACCGTTTTGAAGCCTCAAATTCTGTGTTTTGGCCACCACCATGACAGTTAAGGCTATTACATAGTTGCCGTTCCCGACCTGTAGCACGACAATGTGACGTCACGGGAGCGCCGTAACTATTTATACTTGCGCATGGTGGTCCCGACACTAGTTGCAGTCTTCTCCTGAACAGAGGTGTCGCGACTGAGGAAAGGCTACTGACTATTTCTACCCACTAGAAGAAGAAGAGGTCGCGGAGGTTCTTCCAAATTTTCCGGCATATGGCCTCCTCTTTTCCAACATTCATGGCGATTTCTTGTCATGAATTCTGGCACTTCTGGGCATCTCTGTGTTCCTTCATTGAAGGATTGTACAAATGCCTGTTTCTGCTTTGGCGCGCTCAGCTGAAAAAAAATAGAGTGGTGCACGACCCAGCCTAAATCCTGGCGCGGCGAGTATGTAACACCCTTTAGACGGAGCCAGTGCGGGCCAGCGGAGCCAGCGCGAGCCAGCGGACGTGACGTACTGTGAGTTGAACTTCGCTCATTGGCTGCACAGTTTTGACTCGTCCATAGCCGGAAACAATGGCAGCTTGCCTGGTCACACATGATCTCGTATGCCAGCTAAACAGTACACTGAAATATGTTTCTGAAACAATTGTAGGTGAGAAATAATCAACGCAGTAACAGAATCTGGATCCATATTTGATCAGCACTGCCAGTTTGATCTGAGTTTGGTGCGCTGCGCTGGTAAGACTCACTGAGAGTGACCTGTCAATCAAAGTGTAGCCCCGCCGAAAAGCATGCATTATCATCTATTGTACTCTAAATTGGACCATAATTTACTAAATGAACTTCATTTAGAAGTTGGCTCATTCTCCATTAGAGTTAATGGTATCAGTGTGTTATTGCAGCCAATGGAGCTCCCCCTGCTGGCCTTTACATAGAGCCTGTCAGTGGCAACAACAACAACTGTCAGTGGACAGACTTTGACGGGCCCATTTGTCCCCATGGATTAGCTAATGTTAAATGGCAGCCATAGCAGCTCGTTACGGAGCTACTTTCTCATCTAACTCTGTGATTGTTGGAAAGACTGGGAAGACTGAGAAAGAAAAAGGTTGAGTTGTAGTTTGTTTCTGTCCAGTTTAAGTGCATTTTACGTTTTTCTGCAAGGTAAAATTACTGATTTTATCAATGGTGTCTGGCCCGCCGTCGTGTCCCTTATTTTTATATGAGACGCTGATATCTTTATATTTTTTTACATAACATTTCCACCACTCGGTGCAAGTCTACTTAATAAAATGGCCAATGAGGAGTTAAGGTCTACAAAATGAAAGTGGCTACAACACACATCACTTCCCAGCGAAGACAGGTAAAGGTGAAATAAATCAAGGGATCCTCACTTGACAGGTTCCCAGGATTCCCTTTCAAAGCCTCTGTGAATGGACTGAGCAATGGAGGACTCCATCAGGTCCACATATCGCACCACCAGGGGGGCGTACAGGTCCTGCAGGTGTTTGTGGAACTTCCCGTTGCACAGGTTATCTGAGGGAGGGGATGGGGAGGAAGAAATAAGACATTGGAGTGAGTTAGTGTGGTATCATGATAGTTTTGTGATACGAACCCTCTCAGTTAATATGAACGGAAAATAACTTTATATGTGAGTTAAAGCCTTTTTTCACATTAAAATCTGAAAAAAACTCATCTACTCTTTCTACCTCACTGAAACTTCCAGAATCTCTGAATATGCAAAAGTTTTCCTGCTGGACACAAGATGTCTCCTACTTCACTGTAAAGTCCATTCTCAGTGGATGTGCACTGGTGGCTTCAAGTTTCTACATCACACTGTACAAGTTGCAAACTGGACCAGGACTGACTTCCTAACTATATGTGATGTCACAAATCATGCAGGCCGGCCCCACCCCTTAAAATCTGATTTTCAATGAGCACAGAGAAACTTTCCACTTTCAGTAGATGAATGTGAAAACATCCTTCTAATGTCAAACTCTGCACATACATCATTCATACAGCACACTGTAGGAACAAGAAGAAACACTGATTTTGAGTGGAGGGGACTAAGTACTTTAAATTCTGCATTAATTACATCCACATCTTTTCTGGACATTGCTGCATTACTTGGCGTGTTACTGTGACAACCCCTGCTATGTTATCTTGTGTGCTGTGTGATTCACCTGTCTCTCTGCTCACTCTGCAGGTGATCATTAGGGTAACCTGAAACACCTGAGGGCCCATTGTTCTTGATTTGCACCTCTCGACATCCACAGTTTTTGAAGCACTGCATGCGCAGGCACAAGGCTACATCTTGGAGCTACTCATCCCCCTCCACCACCTGTTTTCAGTTATTCTAGCAGATTAGACTTGATTAGACTAGCTCAGGTTGAAGATGGGCTGGAGCTTTGATGGGGATTTATTTATACAATTTATACAAATCTTAATCTCCAGTAGGAATGATAAAGGTGTAATATGTCCCACCCTAATGGATGCAAAACTCCAAAGCCGACCATGGTGTATTGATTAGAGAGTTACTGTCAGTAGATTGATCTCGAAAGACAATGTAAATATGTTCTAAAATAGCAGTCCTGGTAGCTGTAGGGGTGGAAAGCTCTTTTGGCCAGTACCTTTTTTTTGCTGTCTTTCTTCTGTTTGGTTTGTTGTCATGTTCACCCTGATACCTCTAGTACTACCCTGATTGATTAATAAATCAATTCTGTTAATCTGCAGCTGTTGTGACACTGGTCTTCTCTGAAAATGGGGAAGAGGGGAGTCATTTTTATGCTATGCTCTGGTTACCCCTATAGGCTGGACATAACAGGTAGAGGACTAAGGAAGATGTCAATTACAGTACTACACACAGTCATGAGCAGAGGTCTAATCAGCCAGGTTAACTCAAAACACCTGTGTGAGTGTTCACAGGTTTTAATAATCCTTAATTGGCAAGTCTGAAACTCCACAAGGAAACTTTTAAGTTCTCATTTTCAGCTCAAGAGTTGTTGTTGTGCAGCATAATAGACACATGTTGGAACCTCAGAGGGTAAAAGTTTATACATTTAAATTAGTTCTTCAGTGCTCTGTCTCTATAGCATTGGGCTGAACACAGCATAGCGGGCACAACAGACACTTACATGTTCATGTGCATGCTGGGTAGCAAAATAAATGTGATGGGCAGGTAGACAAACAATAGAAATGCCCATCCCTGGATGGTGATAATGAACAATGACAGGGGAGGTTGGTGTTTGTGGCTAAAACTGGCTCTTCATTAGCAGGTATGACACAGCATATCCACTTTTCAATCTTCCCAAACAAAAGGTCGGAGTCTCGGGGTATTTCTAAATCCAACCCGTCAAACACATTTCCCCCAGTCTCCGCCGGCTCCCAACTGGTAAAAAGGCAACACTGACAAAGACCACAGGAGATAAAATGGAGGCCAGTGTGTGCTAATGTGATGCCTCACGGCTCCATGCAGTGTGTCTGCTTTTCCTCTCCCTCTCTCTCTCTTTGTTTTTCTCTCCCCCTCTGAGCATGTGTGTGTTTGTGTTTGTGTGTGTTGGCATTGGAGTCAAGGTCGATGATACACAGTAGGTGCAATGTTTGTTGTGTTCCCTGATTGCCACTCTTCCAATTAGCCACTTGAGCGGCTGCTGTCCACTTGGATGTGTTGTGTCCAGAAGTGTGTTCGCAGGGCTTGCCGCGGCCCAGCTACCACTGCTTTAGACCTCATTAACTCCTCGAATGGCAGCCCAACTTTGGCGCCTGTCTAGTGCTAAGGCTATTTACTGCTCCATAAGTGCACCGCTGTGGGGCAACAGAGCAGATGACCTTCTGTGGAAAAGATGTCCCCATGATGATACGCTTTATTAAAGTGCTTGTTACACTGTGTGAGCAGGAGATGGTTTGCTGTGTGTGATGTGTGCTACACAATGACGCTGTGGGCTGATGCTTTGGACAGACATTCTGAAAAGGAAGGATGGCACACTGGCATTATGAGTGGCCTCTTTGCATTTCTGTCTGTAAACACTGTTGTATAATGTCTTCTATGGCTCTGGAGGTAATACCTCACCTTGGACTGGGCTTGGAGACCACAAATAAATGTTTAGTTAGTACCAGCAGCAGTAAAAAATGTAAGATAAATACATTTTGGATATAATTTTTGGATATAATTATATAAATGAGTAAATGTAATTTTAATCCAATTTATTAAGCATTTTATTGTTTCTAAAGAACGCTTTCGTTCATGTCCCACAACTGTGATGTCAATTAGGGATGCCCAATAATTATTAGGGCAGCTAAATAATGGTAAATATTAATATCCTGATCATGGGAAACTTATATTATTATGAATTATCAGGATAATTAAAGTAGTAGAAAGTAAAGTAGTACCTAGTAGGTAGATTTTAAAACTTTGAAAAAATCAGGTTCCTCTGGTGCCTCCTAGTGCTCCTAATGGCATTTGCAAGAATCCACCGGGTCAGAACCAATCAGAGCAGAGAGAGACAGTTTTTTGTTAGGTCTCATTTGCAGGTTGTTAAATACTAATGCTGGGACTGAGACTCAACAATCAATTGTCTTCAAGCCTCCAACCCAAAGCATCTTTATATCTTTCTTGGCTCTGATTGGTTGTATTTTTGTTCAGGCCCAGTGGATTCTTGCAAATACCATTAGGTTCACTAAAACAAGTCAGATTAACCTGATTTTGACAGATTAGCTGTCTCTCAATGGCTGTGGCTCAGAGGAAGAGCAGGTCATCCACTAATTGGAAGGTTGTTGGTTCAATCCCCAGCCCCCCCGTCGTATGTCGAAGCATCCTTGCGCAAGATACTCAACCCCAAATTGTGAATGTGTATGAATGAATTAGTTTATGCTTGATGGACTTTTCCATCACTGAGTGAATGTGTGTGAAAGGGTGAATGTGGCACGTAGTGTAAAAGCACTTTGAGTGGTTGGAAGACTACAATGGCGCTATACAAGTACAGGTCCATTTACCATTACTGAAAAAAATGAGTTAGAAAAAGTTACCTGCTGCAGCTTTAAATTACAAACGATAGGTATTGGTCCATAATAATTAATTTCAAACTTTTATGCAAAATGATTGCTAGCCTTTATGTTCTATGTTATGTGAGGTTTTTTGATGAATTTTACTTAATAAAAAATAAATTGAACATGTGAAGAGTCAGAACTGTTGTTTGTTTTGTTAACAATAGTGATGTCAGTTCAATTCAATTCAATTCAATTTTATTTGTATAGCGCCAATTCATAACAGAAGTTATCTCAGGACACTTTTCAAATAGAGCAGGTCTAGACCGAACTTGTTAGTTGGTTTTGGTTAGGTCAGAGCTATTGAATATTAATTCATCCATCTTTACTTGCCACCTATCAGCCTTTCTTGCCATCAAATGTGTAAAAACTACAGGTTAGGAACTCATTTGTATGTGAAATTATCTTGACTGATGAACACAGTTGGAGAATGAATGGATACAAAATAGGATGTAGGATCTACGGTATGAATTTTTTCCTGGGCAACTATCCAGCCAAAATATATAAAGAATTTAGTCATGGATTATCTCAAATGGCTTAAAAAATAGTGCATATAGCTGCCGTAAATAGGGGAAAAAATGGGGTGAGCATGGTCCCCTAGGTTTGGTCTATGCCCCAAATGTTTACAACGTCTGGCTCTGCCCCTGCCAATGGGCTTGGTGCTGACTAGAGAAGTCAGAAAGTATTTTGAGGCAGATTAACACATTGTTGGATCTTTTGATGTTGTTGGATTTGTTGAGAATAAGACCATCAGCTCTTATCTTTTAATATTGATATGGGGTTATGGAAGAGGACTGGTTTGGCTGACAAAGAAAACAATGTCATTATGTCTCAGTGCAATCTATAATAAGGCATGTGGACAGTTGTTTTTCAGTGAAAGTAGCCAATACTACTGACATTTTTGAAGTAAACATTTTGCTCTGATAGTAAAGCATCTTTGCACATATTTTGCACATAAGATGTGAGATGAATGAATGAACTCAATTTGAGGCACACAAAGACATTTGCACAGACATTAGAGTTTTTTATAGTCATTGTATTATTGCCAGCTCCAGACAATTTCCTTCCCTCTGTGCTGGCTGGTCGCTACTTCCTTTGGTATGCACTTCAATTGCCATTCTCACACAATTGACAATCTGCAGCAAATGAGAATGTGGCCAATTTGATGACACTAACAAGTGAGCATAACAAGCTATTTGCAGTCATCTATGTTCAGCTGAATGAGTGGACCATGCTCTGCCTTCTCCTTGACTCCCGACTGAAAAACCAAGAGGGGGGAAGCATTCCCCAGGGACAATTAGCGCCCCGCGGATTGAGTTGCATTGTGAACAGTGAAGTGTTTCCTTTACAGGACCACGGACAGTTCCACAGCGTTCCTGCAGGCAAGTGCATGCAGTTCATTAGAGAGATGGCTGGCCTGCAGCAACCAGCATCAAGACCTCACCATTATCTATAGTCAGACACTCCTGCTCCTGTTCTCACACATACACAGTTCAGTATGTAAACCACTCCCGGCCCAAAGTAGACATCTCACACTGACAGGAATGATTTCAGAGACATTTGAGATGTTTCAGGGAGTTTTTTTTTTTCCTAGGATGGCAAAGTCAAGTCATCACTAGTTAATGAGAGTGAAACTTTGTTTCATCCAATCATAGCAAACAAACGTAATTTCATTAATAGTCAAGGCTATTGGCAGTATATAGTTAATGGACAGAGCTTTCTAATGACCTGCAGGTGGCAGCTCTATGGGCTGCAAAAAAGAATCTGATAGTATTGAGTGTTATGAAGAAATGAGCCGAATTCTGACCTGATTTATGAGCTCAGTAAACAGTTTCCTAATGAGTTTATGGTCTCAATCTCTAGTTTCAGTCTTCTTCCATACAGCATGATGTTCATTTAGTAAATGATGGTCCCATTTAGAGTAAAATAGATCATAAAGCAGGGTATGATTTAGGGGATGGCTACCTTGTGATTGACAGGTAATTTTCAGTGAGTCCGTCCAGCTCAACGCACCAAACTCAGATCAAACTGTTAAACTAGGCAGTGCTGATCAAATATGGATCAAGATTCTGTTACTGTGTTGACTAATTCTGTTGACTAATTCTCTCCCAAAATCTTTTCAGAAACATATTTTATTGTACTGTTGATGTGGAATATGAGATTGTGTGTGACTAGGCAACTCCACTGGCTCTAAAAAAAATGACATCAACAAGGTAATCCACAAACCAATTGTGATGTCACCCACAACAGGTTCACACTTGGTCAATATAGTAATACATAGTATACTATAATACTATAATATTGTATTATTATGAAATGGACCGTTCTGTATGAGAAACACTTTCACTTTAAGTACATTTTCTTACAAACACTTTAACATTTTGCATTCTGGACTTTTACTAATTTAGTTTTGTAGTACCACTACTTTTACTTAAGTAAAACATTAAATTAACAGCTAGAATACAGTTGTTAGGAAATTAGTGGTTCCCAAACTGTTTCCATAAGGGAGCCCTTTTCTATCATTGAGTAAGTGACTTATTTGATGAATATTTCATATTATATTCAATGCATAACAGTACAGAACTCATAACTGATAACAGACACCCTCTCCACATTCAAGAGTAGGCTTAAGACGTTCCTCTTTGATAAAGCTTATAGTTAGGGCTGGATCAGGTGAGTCCTGAACCATCCCTTAGTTATGCTTCTATAGGCCTAGACTATCGGGGGATTCCCCATGATGCACTGAGCTCCTTTCTTCCTCTCTCTCTCGTTCTGCAGTTCTGCAGGCAGTTTTTCCTTGCCCCCGTCGCCAAGTGCTTGCTCATGGTGGTACTGTTGGGTCTCTGTAAATGTTATGAGGAGTTCGATCTAGACCTGCTCTATTTGAAAAGTGTCCTGTTATAACTTCTGTTGTGAATTGGCGCTATACAAATAAAATTGAATTGAATTGAATTGAATTGATAACTGAACTACAATATACCTAAACAGTAAACACAATAACTACAGGAAGTAATATTATATTATAATTGTATAATAATATATTTTTATACAATTCTCTGTCTGTATTATGTATTTATTTTTATTTTTAGCAATCCCACATACTTAGGCGCTGTGAATATAGCTTTCAGGTCTTCACTGTGCCCTTATCCTGTTTATATTTACATTTTCATTTCGTTTTCTTAACAGAAATGAAATGAATGCTGAGATGTAGGCCAACTGTATACCCTGTGAAGGTTTGGCGACCCTGAGCAGTCAAATTCATGCAAATAAAGGGAGGTGAAAATAATTATCTTTGATCTTTGAACTTATATTTTATTTTTGTAAATGATACATATAGCTCAGTTTGTGTAATGCACTGGTTCTCAAACTATGGTATCCAATGATGGTACACAAGCTCCCTCTAGTGGTTCACAGACAAAAATATTTTTAAAAATTAAATACATTAATTTAAAAACATAATACTATTAAAATAGTACACAATTTCAAAAGAGGTCACTGAAATGTAATTTAAAATAAGTCTAGCCTTTCTTGTAATATTCTTGTTTAAATATCAGCCTGCTACGTAGTCAAGGTTATGTATGTAGCGCATGCATACATCAATGATTTGTTTGGAAGAGTGCCAGTTCCAGTGTTACCTCTTTGTACAGTGTGGCTGTAGCTGACAACAGTCAAAAAATAAATAATCTTCTTATCAGGAATAGTCGGCCAGACTTTAGACTTGGCAAAATCAAATAAGACTTTAACACCAAAGGCTTGTGATTTTACTTGTACTTGAGACTTGATACCTTCCCCAAAGTCCAAGGATTAAAAAGTATGTTATTTAAAAAGTGTGCCACGAATCAATTCATCTTATATTCCTGAATCAACTAATACTATTCATTCTCAACCAATCCAACAGCATCCAATCAAGTTGCAGTAGAGAACCATGAAGAACTAACGCTATGTTTCTCATTGCCAGCTGGAAAAAATTATACCAAAGTTAATTTCATTCTGTTGTTAAAATGGCATTACATTTGGTGAAGAGTGTAATTATGATTTATTTGGAACTCTAAACTTAGGACTTGGGACTTGCAAAGACTTACTTATACTATTTGGGACTTGGTCCCACCTCTGGGGTCGGCCTACACCACTGTATTTTAATGTCAGTCATAATGGTGGGTAGCCTAATATTTTCTGAGGTGGTCTGCAGTGTAAACAGTTTGAGAAACACTGGTCTAATGCACATGTTTCTTATCATGATGTGCACTAGGAAATTATGTCATTTTATGTTAACCTAGGCAAGTGGATAATCAAACCCTTCATCAGGCCTTCATCCCTAGTGTCTGATCAACCCTTCTACATGACCTACTAGACCAACTGCAAGGCATGTTCAGCCACTTCAGCTTCCATGCTATTCAATATGTTTTATTTAATAGCTCCTCACTCACAGTCCATTCTCAGGAAGTCGTTGAGCAGCTGGAAGAGGGGGAAACTGTCCCAGCTATCTGGCGGCTGAACTTCAAGGGCCGCATCCATGTCGGCCGAGTAGAGGCACAGGAATGTCTCGGCATGCTCCACCATCAGGTCTGACCACCACGCAAAGGCCTTCAGATGGAGGGTAGGAGAGACAGAGAGGAAAGGGAGTCAGAATACAGGGAGCAGAAAAAAAACAAGAGGTTGAAGGTGAAAGAAAGGAGACAAATTAGACAAAGAGAGGGTACTTACAAGTGCTCCCCAATGGGCATGTCTTTAAGAGTTTACAGATTGTATCTCATAAAGGCTGAAGATGTAACGTAACTCCACTGATCTATTGCAAAGGCTCTTGGCTATCTCTTTTCACCATATGAAATCAAGTTGTTGCCTCAACGACTTCACTGCGTGATCTCCGGGGGAAGGATTCTTCACAACTCGCAGCAGAAAAAACGGCGCTTGGGCACGGAAAAATCACACGCTTTTCTGTTGGCCCACAGAGGAAACAGCAGCAGCTCCTTGACAGGCATGGCAGGGAGCTACTTAAACACTCACCCACAGCTCCTTAAGCGAGTCAATCAGAAGAAAGGAGCTAGCGAGCTGCTCTGCGCTCATATCTCCCCATAAAATAGACGCAGTGGAGTGACTGTTAGGGACTGGGCTACTCTCATGCACATCAAAAACACTTGCTTTCCTCCATGCACCCCCACTCTTGCCAGGCCTCTTAAGAGGGACCCCCGAGGATCCATGGTGTTTGCTCATTCACATCAAGCTGTCAACACTGTAATGTGAATGTACCCATGGGCTTAGGTGGTGGTGGTGGGTGTCAGGGGTTGGGATCTGGGGGGGCATGCACTTGCCATGAGAGCTCTCAGCATTGGATAGTTGGCAAGAAGGTAAATCCAGCAGTCAGTGACACTCGTGTAATCATTATTTTTACATTTGAGACTTTTGCAACAGTGTTTATATTCAAGTCACAGAAATAAACCAAAAAACATTACCAAGTAGAAAGAACTCTTCTTTCAATATTGTCCTGTCAGTACAAATTAATTCCCAAAGATTTTGAATTTAAACTTGTGTCATAAGGTCTAACCTAAACAAAGATGGCAACCAGAAATGATAGTTGCTTATCACACCCATGGATGTATTAATGGAGAACTGGATACAGGGTCGTAGGCGACGCTCTGTTCATTCCAATTAAAGCTGCTCAGTGCATGAAGCAAAAAAGCCAATTCCTGCTTCTTTTCTGCTAAAGAAATGACCTGGATGAATGCATACTGCGCAGCTGCACCAGAGATTTTCACCGGCCGCTAACTTCCAGTTCATCCCTCCACTAACCTGAATGGGGATAAAATTATTTAATTGTGTGATTCTACTAGACTTTCCAGACCGAATGGAGTCATTTCACAACCGGTACTTTCACAATGTAAGCTTATGGGAAGAAGTCTTTTTGGGTCAGTGTGCATCATGTGACATCATTGCTGTATTTACACAGTTTGGCCACTATATCAAATTGGCTTCAAAGCCTGGCACTCTCTTCCTGGAGGCTTGATCACACTCCATGAACCTGGTGGGCTGTGCAGCTGTAAAAGTGAAGAAAATTGTGCTAAAGTAAAGCCATTGCACACAGAGTATAGATAGCAACTGCTAAGCATGGCATCTCTGATCCCTAGCAGTGATGATATTTTGCTTTTAATGCTCATTAACAAAAGGAAAAAAGTATTGGGTTCACTCGAGGCAACGAGAGGATGGCGAGTTTCACCAACCTGAGGCCAGATCATAATGTTTTCATGAGAGAGTCAAGATTTTATTGAACATCAATATTTTATTTCCATGTAATTTATGTGTTTGGGTAGTCAGCATACTTAGCCAGAAAGACACAAATCAAATGTATTATGGGTGTGATGGCTGCACTAGTACTTGTTCTTGGCCCCAAAACCTTAGAGACTCACTGTCTGAAGATATAGTTACTCTAGATGGCATTACCTTGGCCTCTAGCACCACTGTCAGGAATCTTGGAGTTATCTTTGATCAGGATTTGTCATTTAATTCCCATATAAAGCAAACCTCCAGGACTGCCTTCTTTCATTTACCTAATACTACAAAAATTAGACACATCCTATCACAGACAGATGCAGAAAAACTAATCCATGCATTTGTTACTTCAAGGCTGGATTACTGCAACTCTTTATTATCAGGTTGCCCCAATAAGTCCATTAAAACGCTCCAATTAATTCAGAACGCTGCAGCACGAGTACTGACAGGAACTAGAAAAAGAGATCACATCTCTCCTGTACTAGCTTCTCTGCATTGGCTCCCTGTAAAATTTAGAATAGAATTTAAAATCCTCCTCCTCACCTATAAAGCTCTTCATGGTCAGGCCCCTTCATATCTTAAAGAGCTCATAGTACCCTATTACCCCTCTAGAACACTACGTTCTCTGAATGCTGGGCTACTTGTGGTTCCTATAGTCTCTAAAAGTAGAACAGGAGCCAGAGCCTTCAGTTACCAAGCTCCTCTCCTGTGGAACCGGCTTCCAGTTGTGGTTCGGGAGGCAGACACCCTCCCCACATTCAAGAGTAGGCTTAAGACATTCCTCTTTGATAAAGCTTATAGTTAGGGCTGGATCAGGTGAGTCCTGAACCATCCCTTAGTTATGCTGCTATAGGCCTAGACTATCGGGAGATTTCCCATGATGCACTGAGCTCCTCTCTTCCTCTCTCTGGAGCCTCCTGCCATGGTCCTGCTAGATTGCCATTGACAATACTGTTGTTGCTGTGCACCTGTCTGTCTGTCTGTCTGTCTGTCTGTCTGTCTGTCTGTGTCTCTCTCTCTGTCTCTTTCACCCCAACTGGTCGAGACAGACGACCACCCACTTAGAGCCGAAGGGTCTGTCCTAGGTTTCTGCCTTTTAACAGGCAGTTTTTCCTTGCCCCCGTCGCCAAGTGCTTGCTCATTGTGGCACTGTTGGGTCTCTGTAAATAATGTTATAAGGAGTTCGGTCTAGACCTGCTCTATGTGAAAAGTGTCCTGAGATAACTTCTGTTATGAATTGGCGCTATACAAATAAAATTTAATTGAATTGAATTGAAATTGAATAACAATTTAATATAATAACCACAAAACGTCAGTATGGTGCTACCAAATGTTAACTAATGAAAAATAATGAAACAGTAATATCAAAAGCATAGTTCTTAAAGAAATACAAACAAAACTCAAACTAAAATTGCCCCTCCCCATGATGCAGGAGGAACATGGTGCAGTCCAACTGGTGCAGCTGCTGGTGCTTTTAGTGGTATTAATGGGGCAACATCTTACAACACACATGCTGCTTACCCATCCAGCTGCCATCTCTGTTGCCAGCAATCACTTTCCTGTTGCCCTTTTGCCTGGAGATGCCCCTATATATAACTCCTTATAGTTTACTTCACTGTAGAGCAGGAAGGGATATTTTGTATAGTTATAGTGCCAGGACAGAAGAGTCTTAGAGGATTATGAAGGGACTTTGAAGGGACAGTTTACCCCAAAATCAAGAATACATATTTTTATTGTAGTTTTTGATAGTTTTGGTATGAGTTGCTGAGTTTTGGAGATACGTCACCATGTCTGACTACAAAAAAGCAACATGGCAACAACAGTAATGCCATACTTGAGGCTTCAAAAGGGTAATCCACAAACCAATAGGTGAGGTCACACTTGGTTGCAGCTCAGCCAAGGAGGATGCCATTATTGTTACATTCTGCGCTGTCACAAGCACATAGATAAGTCAATACACGCTTCCTTCTGTGCTGTGATACGTATTATATGTGGACCAGGTCATGATTTTTGGAAAGAGGCATCAGTGTTGAGTTTTTTTAATGTATTTTTTGTTGCATTGAGCACCACAAGCCGAGTGCCAAGTGTGTCAGATTCCATTAAACTGGAGAGAAGGCAGGTATCTCCAAAACTCACACACAAACAATCTAGATGAATAAATAACAGTACAGTTAAGATGATGTTTTGGGATAAACTGTCCCTTTAAAAGTGCTAAACTTGCTCCTCATTTTTGACAAAACTGTGGCTTAATTCTATAAGTTGAATGTACTCAGTGTTCAATTCAAATTTGTGATTACATGAGAGCCCCAAAATAGTGCTAGTATAAAGGGTGAGCTATAACCAGCATTAGAACCACACACATGAAAATGAAAAAAGTACATTGCATTGAATTATAATAAGTTCTGAACGTGCTTTCATTGTAAATTGACCAAAACAAAAATGGAGTTGATGGTGGCGTTGGAGTCTAACGCTGGTTAGGCTGGTTCTGTGGTTCACCAATGTGCTCAAATAATTAGAGCAGCAGAATGCATTTCACTGAAATGCAAGGGGAGTGATGTTATCTATGATCACACAAAGCATGCCTCACATTTCCTCCATTGTGTGTGCTGAAGGATCCAATGGAGAGGAATGGGATCCTTTAAGGGAGGGAAAGGTGACACAGCACCTTCCCCAAGCTCACTTACTGGACTTGGTAGAATAAATGACACATGGCTAAATACAGGAAACAGGTTAGCATTGTCTGGGATGATTTGGGGTAGACTCCTAGAAAACAAGGTACAGAGTTGTATTCTTTGAGACACAAAGTTAAAGAAACTCTGCACTTTGCTTCCTCAGAGCAGAGGTTAATGAATTCAACGAGTAAAAACACATTGCCTAAGTGCTTGTCTCTGTTCTTCGTCGCCAAAGGCAAAACTGTTGTTAGCTTAGAAGCTAACAAGCACTGCCACAAGCACTTGATTATCAGTGACCACAAGCTGAAAGGGGTTCTGGGTCATTGTTGAGCAGGGAAACATTAATGATCCTCTACAACAATAGCCGTGTCATTAAGTGCATGCACAGGACTTAGAGTAAGGGTAGGGTAGGGTAGAGATGGGGCATATATGGCACTAGGACAATCACATACCTCTTTTCCCTGTTCAAACATTTCCCCGGAAACAATATAAGTCATTGAAATAAAAAGCAGAGAGGGAATAAGTCAATTTTGTTTCAGTTAAATAAGGAAGTGACAAAATAATGTGATTTACAGTGATGTAACAGCATTCACAGTGAAAAGGCAGAAAGATTGGATAGATTGAATCTTTAAATCAAAACAAAATCCATGTTTTCTTCATTAGTACGTCTCTTTTCCTTTTGCCTTCATAATTTTTGTTCTTATCCTTCAACCCAGTGTTTGTCGGATAAACAGAGTAGCTACTCTGCTGTGATCCGAGGATAGACCTGATTGATAATTCTCCGCTGCTACTACAAACTTGCCTACACTTTAGAGTGTGTACTTTGTGTCAGGCATGGCCCGCTGTGCAGATCAGACGCAGTATGATGATTCAAAGCAGCATGTGGGTGCTGGTGAGGGACTTTGTATTTACTATTTGCAATGTGAACACAGAACTGTCATTCCTCAGTCGGGAGGAATACAAAATAACTTGCTCAATTTATCTTCTGAAACTAATCTAGAGAGCCTTGTGGGTGTTCTAGAGACAAAGGTGAAACATGTTCAATGGAAAGTCTACAAATGTGATTTCTGAAGTCAATCAATATCTCAAACATAAACCAAACTCTGTGACTGATAAATTGGTAAAGAACACCAGAAAATGCTCCATATGGCTAACAGGTTTACAAATTAGTAATAATGTAGCAAAAGTGCAGCATAATGCTCTCATTACTAACAGCACACAGGCTTTTCACTGCCCCTGTAAACCTATGATATGGCTGTGAAGACAACCCGGGCTTACTCCCAAGTTTTCAAATACTGCTGCCTGGTCAGTGGCCCTCTACTCCAAAATATGACACTGTAGGTATCCCTCTAGCACCATTTCTATATGGCATTACGTATATGGAGGAGTTGGGGTGGATGGATGGCTCAAACAAACAGGACTTTAACCCAGGAGACCACTGTTTGTGTCCCATGGAAAACCAAAAGTAATCAATTTCTTTCTCGTAACGTATGTAAGTTAACTTTAACCTTGGTAACACTACAACACTTTAAAAGTTGCGACATCTCTACTCTCTACTGTTCACATTACGCAACTTTCAGTCTTGTAATTGGGAGTCTTAAAGTCGTTGTGGTTTTCACACTATGTGACTGATCAGCGACAGGGAGTCACAGACTGCAATATCTTTCACAACCAGTCTGCTTTCCAAACTACATTTCATCAGGACTCATTAATAACACCATTAATAACAGGCACATCGTGGTTAATTGGGAAAGTGGTTTAAAACACGCACAAAGGCCAATAATTCACAGCATACTGCTGTTAGAAACTGAGTAAAATAAGATGATAATGATCCTGATCAGCCAGCATCAGTAATCAGTACACAAATTAAAGCATTAATCAAACTACCTAACAACAGACAACCTTAACATACTTCAGCAGTTACCTAGTGTTTGTGTAGAGGTGACAAAACGTTCAAAATTATACATTAGCAGTTTGAATTCAACTAAAAGTTCCCTGCACCAAACTCCCTTTAAGAAATATTAAATTTTAACAATTCCTAACGTGTCCATAAATACACGTAATTCTAGAAACACGAGCTAAAGGCCGTTATGTGTCGACAGTCTTCTTGTCAATTCGGCCACAATATAATCCATAAAGACAAATTTTATTCGGTCATAACCAGATATTTAGCCTGCTAGATATTTTTCTGCCATTGGTGAGGCAAGTCTGCAAGACGCACTGTTGAAGAATTCACATAATGTGGTCCTTCTGACAGGAGTGAGCACCCATTTTCTTCCGGCCTGGGAGAATTTGTTTGCCGATCTCCCAATATAGTCAGCGTATAAAACATTAGGGCTAAAATCACGTAGTGTCAACAGGGCATTAAGTAAAGTACTTAAATTACATCTGGTACATAATTCAACAGGACCGTGGAGCCCTGCATGTCCAGAAATGACGCGTGAGGGACACCTAGAGCGTCATATTTAGAAGCAGAAGGCCACTGACCAAGTGGCAGTATTTACACAGGTGTGTGTGTGTGTGTGTGTGTGTGTGTGTGTGTGTGTGTGTGTGTGTGCGTGATTCATGCATATATACCAGGACACTGACCTCAGCATGGTGTTCCTCATTCTGCTGAAGCACCTCAATCACTAGCTCGGCCAGGCGAATGGTGTCCTCCAGTTTTTTGGCAGGGGTGACTAACCGCCCTACATTCTCTGGAGCAAAAAGGTGATGGGTCAGTACGGGCAGCCTCCGATTGTGATCAGTATCTATTTTTTCTTAATTAAAGAAAGGCTCTTGTTACTACTATATCCATGCAACCTAAAGTGTATAAGAACATTGCTGGTCTGAAATATAAAAGTTTGTTTTTGATATTATTGTATTTAGATTATTTCGTACAAAAGTTAACAACATGTGTGTTATCCTGCATACTCCCAAACACTGGAGCTAAAGGATTAAGTCAGTCACAAATTTTGGATATAGCTGTTGCTTCAAAAGTGATCCTTAGTCCAGTCTATAGCCTCAGCCTAAACCACTTGGACAATCTCATGATCATATTAAAAAATACAAGCATCAATATAAATGATTAGGGCTGGGTATCGCAAAAGACTCAATTGTGTTTGTAGCATCCAGGATAGAAAATATAATATAAATCAGAATTGTATTAACTGTATACTATATTTTCTTGAGACAAACACACGTTTTATCCAGTCCTAGTTACACTGTAATTCCAGGATTGCTAGATTTTGTTAATTGATATCAAACATTATCCCCAAGAGTGCTGAAATCACTGCTGGAATGGCTGGAACTAGTGATGGCCTGTGGTATGTAGTGAATGAATCACACCTCTGTCACTGTGACAGAACAGTCATCTAGAAAAAACACGGATGTGATGAAGGATGTAAACAGCACGTACATTTAACACTCATCATGCAGTAGTGTTGTGGTTATGTTGTTTGTCTCCACAGTATCTGACTTAGTTTGCAGTTTGATTGTTTTGGGCTGGGAAGTTGAATTTCACTCTACTTGTGTTTAAGAGTAAGTCTGCACAAAATGTTATTTTGTGTATTTTCCGTACTATGCTCTTTAGGGTTAGGGTAAGGGTTAGTATGTTCCTTTAGTATGTTCAATGACAGGACTGAATTCATACCACAGCCAGATAATGTGCTTGTTTCTGATTAGTTGACAGTCAGTTGAACCCATGTTTAGTTAATGCCACCAAGCTTCTAATGGTTTTAATGTAGACTTTCCTTTTCCTTTGGTAAGCATTGCTTTGCCCATGGTATATCAATGATAATGCATGCCAATGCTTTTTGGTATAGAATATAATGGAATCCGAGGTATAAACTTCATGGCATGCAGCAGTGCCATCACTTCATCCATTATTCTCATATATCATATGACCTTGTTGTGCTTTATCACTTAAAATAGACCTTTTTCACATAAGCCATTTCGACATGAAATGATAATTATTAGGGTTCCGTTCCATTTAGTGTAGCAGAGCCTTTCCAGTTAGCCAACATACAAAATAGCAGTAGAGTTGTTCTGATACCAATACCAGTATCAAAAATTCCTCCCATATGATACCACCTACCAATTTATTAGCCCCCATTATTTTTCCCCCAGGAACGCAATGTCATAACCCACCCTACTCTGACTCTAACAAAGCTTTTAACCTGAGCTAGGCCATATAACAATGCCAGCAATCAAAGGCTTAATAGTATACAACAGAATATGAATTAGTATAATTGGTAGCACCTGTGTTTACCCTACTATTTCATGTCAAAATGGCTGTTGTGAAAAAAGTCTATGGAGTAGATATCTTAGAACCAATCGGCTATCGTCTGATGATAATTTGGCAATGACTAATGTCTCAGGGCTTCCAATGCTGCCAGTGAATATCCAAATAACGGATATCCAGGGGAAGACTTCCTCTTCAGTCTGATTAGGAACTTAGTACGAGATATTGGTAAAAACAGATATCAGCACATGAATGCAGATATTTAAAAAAAAAAAAAAAAAAAGGCAATAAAAAGCCAACTCATCATCAGTTGATAGACGATGGGTTCTGAGATTGCATTTTGGGCAATGCATTCTGCCTGCATGCAGCCAAAGCCTGCTCAAACGTGATTGGTCAAATACTACTCAAACTACAAACCTTGCCTACAGATTCTGCATTCATATGCAGATATCTGTTCATAGAGATCAGTGTTATGAACTGTATGGCCAGGATTATAAAACCATATTGTTGGAACATTTCCTACATTTGGATGTCCATGAAACTCACCTTGTACTCAGAGGTTCAAGACATTTTACAAAACAAGGGACCCCAGCTGAGGCCCAGAGAGCATTGTAGTATAGCACTTCAGTTCTGTTGTAGTGGCAGGATAAAGTCAGAGGTCAAGCTTTGTAGAAGATGGTGGGCATGTTCAGCGCTTTGAATCAATTAACTTTTGGATTTAAATCAGTTTTAGCTCAATTCACCTGCAATGGCACAGTGCTGTATTTCTGTCTGCAGTGATGAAGCATTCTGAACATGCTTATTTAATTGCTCTGTCTGAAGTCTTTTCCATAGCAAAGACTGTGTCCATTCTTGTCTGCAAGGAAACTGGCGCTGTCACAACTGCTGCCTCCTGTCAGCGCCAGTATGCCATTGGACATGTGTGATGGAAGTCAGCGTATTTGAGGTTTTTGAAGTTCAACTTTGCTGAACTTTGTCTGCAAAGCCTGATAAAAACTCAGCAATAGCCTTGCTTTGCACAATGTTGCATTTGGCGTAAACACGTTAGGCCCATTATACGGGTTGAATTGGCCATGTCAGAGTCACGGCTGTGTTTAGTCCGCACACAGCAGGGTGATGGGTGATTGTCGCTGGAGGCTTAGGTCATGCTAACATGGCTGAAGGCTTCCACAGAATGGGACTTCTGTACTGGTTCAAATGGGGAATTGTTAGGATCTAGTCAAGTCAGAGCTATTATGTGTATGTCAAGTGTACTATTGGAAACAAATTGTTTTATATAAAGTTATATTTTCTATAACCTTTGACTATTTAATAATAGTCTCCAGCTTTGTCAGATTTCATCACAACAGCAAGTTGACAGTTTTATTATGTTAATATCCCAAGTCAACGCCTCACTGGGATCTCACGACATTTTATAACGCTGATGGTGTGCCTGCTAACTGCAGGTTAGTAGACAATTGACAGGAGTCTTCTCAGGATTGATCTCAAGTCACCTTGAAATTAAATGCTGTTTCTTAAAGCCACTTTGTGTAGGATTGTCACTGCAAGGGTTTAATTTTCCACCTGCATGCAGTGTTTTCTTCCATGCTTGGACGCTTGCACTCAGAAGAAGTGATTTTCACTAGCAATGTGTGATTCATCTCTCCATTTATCAATCAACTAATTTCTGCTCTTCTGAATATTTAGTTTTGTAACATAACAACAATTCCTATGCTTCAAAAGCATGGGTGTGATTTCGGTAAAGCCCAATTTGGTGTTGTATTTTACTCTGAAATTGCAGTTCAAACAAATCATTGCAAATCTTAATTCTAGCTTATTCTTACTTTTGAATTAAATCTGCCTTCATTCTTACTACTGTTTCTAATTCCTGCAGAAACTGATCAATCTCAACAAAGGTTTATGTCCAAATTCAGAGCAGTGAAAAACACCACATGGCCTGGGGGGCACTACTAATGCTGTCAAAACATACCTGAAACATGTTCTGTGAAGCTTTTGAGCAATGTACAGACATCAGGAAGGTTGTGACAGGGTGGTGTAACACGTTCTCATCCTAGGTCGTCAAATACCAAAGCCATTTTGTCATACCCCTCAACGTCTCATATGGAAGCTCAAGGTACCCTCTAGTGTCTGTGTGAGACACCTTTTTAAAACGTGGTTAACAGTGTGAGATTGGCGCAATTTGATTAGGTTTGGGCAACAAAACTACCTGATTTGGTTTAGAAAAACATTATGATTTGGGTTAAAATAAGGATGTTACCTGATACGTGATTACATGTAAGTCAGGTTGCCATTACTGTGGCAACAAGTCACGTGATGCATGCAGTGAAATATTTTATGTGACTTGATGAAACATAAAACTTCAAATGACTTTTAGTTTAACATGGGACACAAACCCCAGTCTTCTGGGGGAAAATCCTGTGTTTTTTTAACCCCACCATCCACACCTTCTTATGTGGACTGTCGCTCTTTACACTTCATCACCTAATGCGGATGGGTTACATTAGACTTAGACTTAAGTAATGCGAACTAACGTGACACTAACAGTGAACTTTCACCAGGCACGGCTTTATGACGTTGCATCTGCAACACAGTTAGGCACTTTCATTCAAATCCCATCAGAGCGTTTCAGAAGTGGGGTGTCTTCAGAGCATCTTGCCTGTCTGACGTTATTGACCTGTGAATTGAATTGAAATGTATTTTGCCCTTAAAAAGGATCTGTAGTGTCATACAAAATGGTGTGTTTCTCCAGTTTGAAGATGAACCTCTCGTTGTCCATGGTATCAAATCTCCGGTGTGACCTGCCTCTGACTGAATGACTTCTGGCCTGGTGCCACAATGGTGATGTAGTGTGAAATTTAATCTGGGGTCTGCACAGGCTATGATATTTTTAAAATTAACCAGATTCTCTATGCTGTTTCTGTGCCTGACTTCCTGCAAATGCAATCCGCTCAGTGCTGCTTGATGCAGGTGGGTTGCGGCTTCCGTCAAAGATAGACCCACCGCATATTCTCAGAGTGGAGAGATGCTTCTGGGACACTCTGCTGTGCTGCTGGTAGAATCACAAGCATTGAGCATCTAGAACCTGGTCCTAGACCGTAAAGGGTACCTTGTGTGTCTGTATGGAGAGGCTGAGGCCACGACGTGACAAAGCCTCAGTATTTGACGTACTGGGAATGACAACGGGCTGGGTGGTAAATGGTTTAAGGTAAATTTGGTGTTTTCTGGTCAGGGATGAGCTAACAGCAGAGGTTAGACATACAGTACAACATCACCTGGATCCTTTAATTTTTTCTGAGATTTCTCCACTAAGTAAAAGTTACATTTAAAAAAAAAAAGTGGAGAGAAGGTAACAGAGGTGGGAAAATATCAGGTAGGGTGAGAGAGAAGAGATTATTTAGTACAGGTAGTATAAGCAGATGTGATGGACGACAGGAGTCAGAAATAAAGTTAAATGTTACATTGGACATATATCTGCAGCGTCTGAGCTAAAGGTTCCTTCTTTAAGTGCATTTTGTGATATAGAAGTCTTTAGAAGAAGCAAGAAAAAAAGGACACAAATCAAAAAGAGTCTTCACTTTGACCTACAATGCAGTATGGGAAAATCTGCAAAAACATTAAAACTTGTTATAATTATTGTAATTTATACCATTCAGCATTTAATGGTGGTTCAAAGACATGTTCACAAAGAAAGGCGTGACCTGTCCTTTGACAGCTCATCTAACCTGGGTCCAGAGATGTGTCACTCAAAGGATTGAATAACTGCAGGATGTGGGTGTCCTGTTTGAATGTACTATGATCTTAAACACTTAAGAGGATTTACACACAAGCAAAGTAAAAATGCATTCAAGTCGCAGACAGACAAAGAACAGGTAGTCTGGGTAGGACTGAAAACAAGCTCACAGAAAGATTAGAAATGTGTTTTGAGTGGCAAATTGAGCCTTAAACACATCAAGAAAGTGTAACAAGAAGACTGTAACGCAACAGATACAAACAAACCAAAATGAAATCAGGGACGACATAACAGTGACATCACTTGTTTGTGGTTGGAGTGCATACTGGTTGTAAGAGAAAAATAAAAGGGTGCAGAGGTGGGGGGTTGATGCTGGGGAATGAGGAAGGTACTCACGAATGGTTAAATCCATCACTTGAGACGCCAAGCAGAAGACAGGGTGCTCATACATCTCTCTCTTTTTCCCTACAGAGAAAGAGGGAGGATACCGAGGCATGCAAGAGGCCAGGGTCAGAGAGGACGAGTACAGAGGTCACTGGGGTATGACCAGTAAGAGGTTTTCGAGGCCCATATCTGAATTCTTTGTGCTGCTAGTTAATATCACGCCATGAAAGCATATTGGTGCAAATAAAATTCACTGCAAAGGTGCGATGTGTATCAATTTGAAATGTCAATATTTTATTAGGAAATTAGAACTATGACTTATAATTATAAACCCACACAATGATTATACAGTGGGCTCTATGGCACAACAGTAGTTTCTTTTATTTTATTAAGAGGATATTATTTTTATATATATTTTAATTATTGAAATGGAAATGGAAACTCTCTTCTCATTTAGTCTGTAAATAATTACACAAACAATTAATCTCAACAAAACTGTGAAACTTAGCATTAAGACATTCTATATTTTTTACAGACCTAAAATGTGTAGACTGAAGATACAGCTTATCAAACTAATTCTACACTATCCTTACAATACTAATATCAACATGCTTCTCTAATCATACATTTTTTCAACATTTTTTAAACCTTATTAATAAATGTGGCATTTTCAGTTGTTTCCTACAATCTTCTGTCCTAATTGTTTCTTTTTCTTTCAAGAGTAGGCTTAAGACTTTCCTCTTTGATAAAGCTTATAGTTAGGGCTGGATCAGGTGAGTCCTGAACCATCCCTTAGTTATGCTGCTATAGGCCTAGACTATCGGGGGATTTCCCATGGTGCACTGAGCTCCTCTCTTCCTCTCTCTTTCTGCACTCATTCATGTCCCATTAATGCATGTTACTAACTTCACTTCTTCCCCGGAGTTCTTCTGCTTTCTCGTCTCGCAGGTTCTTATCGATCCTGGTGGAGCCTCCTGCCATGGTCCTGCCAATACTCTTGTTGCTGTGCACCTGTCTGTCTGTCTCTCTCTCTCTCTCTCTGTCTCTGTCTGTCTGAAAAGTGTCCTGAGATAACTTCTGTTATGAATTGGCGCTATACAAATAAAATTGAATTGAAAATTGAATTCATTTTAATCATTTTTGGATACTTTCCAGGTTGTACTTCAGCTTTGTTCATAATTTTTACAGATCATTTGAAATAAATCAAAATGATCAATACATACAGCTAATGAAAATAAAACAATCTAAATTACATTTGGATTAGAATTATGTAACGGTTGTTATTCAATACATTTGTATAGTAAAGCAATCTGCCTTTGAGCTGTCAGTAATCCAAAATTAAATAAAATTCCATGTAGAAAGTGATAATAGATTATCTTTGCTTACCATAATAATACTGTAAAAAATTTGAATTAAAATGAATTGAGTACATCTATAGCAATTAATTAATCAGTTTAAATGCTACACAAAGCACCTTTGAGAGCCTTCCTGACAAATATGTCCTCAAACTGCATCAAATCCTCATATCTCAGATCTGAGTTGGATGGTGCTGACTGACACATGTCCATGATTTTCATGGATATGCCAAAGTCAGCAAAACAACAGTCTAACCTTAAGTGTTTCCACGCTGTTTTTAGCTGAGTCGGGACAGATTAGCAAGACAACATCTCCTCTGTTACTAAGAGAAAGGTACCACATTACGAGTAGACTGTATCCATGTGTGTTTGTGTCTGGGATTCAAAGGCTATGGGTATGGAGAGAATTTTGTTCCTTTATTATTCAATCAAATAGAATAGATTTGAAACCAAAAAAGAGATTTGAGAGCAAAAAAGAGTAAGTGGCAATCAAATTTTTTTTTTGAGAGATCAAAACAGAACAGGTTGCAATTAAAAAAAAATATGAGAGAACATATTTCTTCAACTTCAATCAAAACTAATGTCTGTAAGTAAAAACATACGATAACATTTTGCTTATAAATCAGTCCTCTTTACTTGCAAGTTCTAAAGTTTTGCTTGCGAATTCAACTGCACTTGATGGGCGGGGCCTACGCTGGTGGATGAGAGAAGAGTTTCTATTGGTTGGTTTGACCTGGCTACGTCTTCCGCATTACACCCACTTCTCCCTGTGCTGTGCTGCTTGGAGGTAAGCCTGTTGCTCTTGAAACGTTTCCCATAAATAATGAATTGCGCTATACTTGTTGGCTACAGCCTGCCGTACATTCACAACAACAACAACAACAACAACAACAACACAAGTAATGAATTATAATGCCCTGCTTCTGACACTGACAGCTGCACACTGATTAGCAGCAACATGGTTGTCTCTGCTAGTCACGGCCTGAGCAGAGTAGCCTAATGAGTGAGTGAATTACAGGGAGGCGTATACAACGTAAGGCTGTGATTTAAACATTTAGTGTTGCATGGTACTCGCGGTGCCAAAACGTCACGGTTCCTACACAACAGTACTACCGTGGATTACTAAACTACCGCTGAACACGGTGCCAGTTTCCACTGTGTAGCGGGCTGCCGCTACTCCTCCCGGCTCCTGTTCTCTACAGCTGTTCTAATGTTGTAATGTTGTTGTTGTGAATGTACGGCAGGCTGTAGCCAACAAGTATAGCGCAATTCATTATTTATGGGAAACGTTTCAAGAGGAACAGGCTTACCTCGAAGCAGCACAGCACAAGGGAGAAGTGGGTGTAATGCGGAAGACGTAGCCAGGTCAAACCAACCAATAGAAACTCTTCTCTCATCCACCAGCGTAGGCCCCGCCCATCAAGTGCAGTTGAATTCGCAAGCAAAACTTTAGAACTTGCAAGCAAAGAGGACTGATTTGCAAACAAAACTTTATAACTCCCAAGCAAAGAGGACTGATTTGCAAACAAAACTTTATAACTCGCAAGCAAAGAGGACTGATTTATAAGCAAAATGGTCGTATGTTTTTACATACAAACATTAGTTTTGATTGAAGTTGAAGAAATATGTTCTCTCATATTTTTTTTCAATTGCAATCTGTTCTGTTTCGATCTCAAAAATTTTTTTTTTATTGCCACTTACTCTTTTTTGCTCTCAAATCTCTTTTTTGGTTTCAAATCTATTCTATTTGATTGAATAATAAAGGAACACAATTTTCTCCATATATGGGCTGTCTACTTTGGATTAACCATTCGTTCCGCCAAGCAGAGGTAAAATCTGAAATGTTTTTTTTTTTCCCATAGGTCAAGAAGCACACCAGTATGAAGGACAGGGGTTATGGGCATAATCAACAATCACAACTGAGATACTAAGGTTCATCTTTCTTAGTGTCTTCAGGGAGGTGATGGTTTCTTTACAGACATCGTCTTAAATTGACCTTTTAAACACAACAACAGCATTTTGGGAAATGTGCTTGTTTGCTGTTTTCTGCTCCTTTCAATGTGAGTCATCTAGAAATCATCCCCCTGATCCTGCAGGTCAAACATGACTTGGCTTTGATCAACAAGAATTATAACTGACATTTAAGATGGTTAACAAGAGAAAGAAGGACAGAGGGACGTCAGAAAGATAAATAAACCTCTGTGCTTTCTTTGCAATATTATTCTTTCTTCTATTCTTTCATTACACAGTACACTAAAATGAACAGATCCAACGCGAGATTTAGGCAATGCAGTAACAGAATCTTGATTCACATGTTATCAGCACTGCCTAGTTTGACAATTTGATCAGAGTTTCATGCATTACACTGGACAGACTCACGGGTGGGCCTTTTCCACCAACAGTGAACTGGCTTTGTTCCAGTTCAAGCACCTAGTTTTGAACCGTTCGGAGCGCTTTGACCAAAACTAAATTGGTTCAGATCATGAACCAAAAAATATTAGATGTGTCATATTCTACACGTCATTGTGCATTGTGCAGCTGCTTCAAGTTTAGTTCAAGAACCAGAGCTAAAAACTAGCAGGCCCCTTTTCCCTTTTTTTGGTGATAAAGGTTCAAAAATATGTGCATCAACCAGCATGGCGCCAGCTCCCTGTTGGTGGAGTCTACAAGAATGACTTGTCAATCATTAGATAGCCACGTCCTAAAGTATACCCTTCTTTATCATCTATTTTAAACTAAATGGGACCATAAGTTACAAAATAATCAACATACTGTATGGAAGAAGACCTGAAACTATCAGGAAACTGTTTACTGAGTTAATAAATCAAGTGAAAAGTAGGTTCATTTCTCTATAAGGCTCAATATCATATAAATAATAATAATAATAATAATAATAATAAACATATAGAAAGGCCCTCCGTAATGCCAGAGGAGCCTATTACTCAACACTAATAGAAGAAAATAAGAACAACCCTAGGGTCCTCTTCAGCACTGTAGCCAGGCTGACAGAGAGTCACAGCTATTGAGCCACATATTCCCATAAACTTAAGTAGCAATGACTTCATGAGCTTTTTTTATAATGAAATTATTACTATTAGAGAGAAAATTTGTCACCAAATGCCCTAAACAGGTATCACTGGCTCTCCAAGTTTAGAAACTTTAACTAATGTAAACTCAGATATATATTTAGAATGTTTTTCTGCTATCAATCTTTATCAGTTAACTTCAATAATTTCTTCATTGAAGCCATCAACCTGTCTGTTAGACCCGATCCCAACTAGGCTGCTTAAAGAAGTCGTACCCTTAATTGGCACTTCTTTACTGGATATGATCAATCTTTCTTTATTGTCAGGATAGGTATACAGTCCTTTAAAGTAGCTGTAATTAAACCCCTTCTTAAAAAGCCCACTCTTGACCCAGGGGTTTTAGCCAACTATAGACCGATTTCTAACCTCCCCTTCCTCTCTAAGATTCTGGAGAAAGTAGTCGCCAAACAGTTGTGTGACTTTCTACATAACAATAGTTTATTTGAGGATTTTCAGTCAGGATTTAGAGTTCATCATAGCACAGAGACAGCTCAGGTTAAATTTAATAATGATCTTCTGATTGCTTCCAACAATGGACTTGTTTCTGTACTTGTATTATTAGATCTTAGTGCTGCATTTGACACCATTGACCATAATATTCTTTTACAGAGGCTTGAGCATCAAATTGGCATTAAAGGAACCACACTAAGCTGGTTTAAGTCATATTTATCAGATCGTTCTCAGTTTGTACATGTTAACGATGAATCTTAATAAATACTACAGTTAGTCATGGAGTTCCACAAGATTCTGTACTTGGACCAATATTATTTACTTTATATATGCTCCCTTTAGGCAACATTATTAGGAATCACTCCATTAACTTTCATTGCTATGCAGATGATAAGCAGTTATATCTATCAATCAAGCCCGATGAAATTAATCAATTATCTAAATTACAAACATGTCTTAAGGACATAAAATCCTGGATGAGCTGCAATTTTCTGATGTTAAACTCTGTAAAACTGAAATTCTTGTACTTGGCCCCAAAAACCTTAGAGACTAGATACAGTTACTCTAGATGGCATTACCTTGGCCTCAAGCACCACTGTCAGGAATCTTGGAGTTATCTTTGATCAGGACATGTCATTTAATTCCCACATAAAGCAAACCTCCAGGACTGCCTTCTTTCATTTACGTAATATTACAAAAATTAGACACATACTATCACAGACAGATGCAGAAAAACTAATCCATGCATTTGTTACTTCTAGGCTGGATTACTGCAACTCTTTATTATCAGGCTGACCCAATAAGTCCATTAAGATGCTCCAATTAATTCAAAACGCTGCAGCACGAGTACTGACAGGAACTAGAAAAAGAGATCACATCTCTCCTGTACTAGCTTCTCTGCATTGGCTCCCTGTAAAATGTAGAATAGAATTTAAAATCCTCCTCCTCACCTACAAAGCTCTTCAAGGTCAGGCCCCTTCATATCTTAAAGAGCTCATAGCACCCTATTACCCCACTAGAACACTACGTTCTCTGAATGCTGGGCTACTTGTGGTTCCTATACTCTCAAAAAGTAGAACAGGAGCCAGAGCCTTCAGTTACCAAGCTCCTCTCCTGTGGAATCAGCTTCCAGTTGTGGTTCGGGAGGCAGACACCCTCTCCACATTTAAGAGTAGGCTTAAGACGTTCCTCTTTGATAAAGCTTATAGTTAGGGCTGGATCAGGTGAGTCCTGAACCATCCCTTAGTTATGCTGCTATAGGCCTAGACTATTGGGGGATTTCCCATGGTGCACTGAGCTCCTCTCTTCGGGTCTCTCTCTTTCTGCACTCATTGATGTCCCATTAATGCATGTTACTAACTTTACTTTCTACCCCGGAGTTCTTTTGCTTTCTTGTCTCGCAGGTTCTCATGGATCCTGGTGGAGCCTCCTGCCATGGTCCTGCTTGACTGCCATTGCCACCCACCTAGAGCCGAAGGATCTGTCCTAGGTTTCTGCCTTTTAACAGGCAGTTTTTCCTTGCCCCCATCGCCAAGTGCTTGCTCATGGTGGTACTGTTGGGTCTCTGTAAATAATGTTATATCAAACTTGTGTTTTGGAACCCATGGAGTTGCCCCCTGCTGGCCATTAGAATGAATGCAGGTTTAAGACACTTTTCCATTTTTAAAATCTGGACCGGTGACGCTCTTCTGTCAATCATCGTACAAAATTAATTAATTTTATATTAAATATGAATAATATTAAATAAACGGTTGTGATTGGCCCAACCAGATCCAGGATAGGCGGAATTCAGTTTGAATGAAAGAGTGGCCAGATGCATCTACCGAACAAATGCAGATTCATCTGGTTAAAAGGCAACAGCTAGGCTAGCTCTGCAAAAATTGACAAAAAAATTACTTACAAGCTGTCGGCTTTGACTAGCTTGCAAATTAACAATGTGCAATGTGTAAAATAGACTGCTTTGGAGTTGTTTATGAGTGTAATTTTCAGCTTTGGACTATGCTAAGCTAATATCCAGGACATATCCCTGTACTGGAGACAGAGATGAAACTGATATTAATCTTTCTAGCTAAGACAGCAAATAAGCATATTTCCCAAATGTTGGTGTTCCTATAGAAGATTAGAGTCACAGATACAGTAGGTTCAGTGGAAGTTTTGTATAAACAAAAATAAAGCAATCTTGTTCTGACCCAGTTTTGGATACAATGTTTCAGAGGTCTGCAAAATATCTATGATGCCTACTAAAGAAAACCTGGACCATGCAACAGGAAAAAACACTGAACTGCCACAAAGGGCAGTCCCATCCTGTCTTGTTTATTGGCCTTTGTGTTTTCAAACAGCAGCTAATGAGAAGCAGCAAAAGCCAATAGACAAGGAAAAGAGGAGTGAGCATGGAAATCATCAGAGAGCGAGGAAGAGGAAGGCAGAAAAAGAGGGAAAAGAAGGAGCATCACTTCAGCTACCAGGCAGGCCAAAGTGGTAGACAGAGGCAGTAGTCAGCTGAAAAAGAAGCTGAGGCATGGTGGACGAAGAATTGAATGCATTTTTACTTACTGTACATTTGCTACTAAAATAGGCAGAAGATAAGGCAAGATGGACATAGCATTTGTCACTTAAAACCACTTTCATGCCATTAAGTACATTATGAAAGATGATTAGAGAGGCACCTGTGGCTGTGAAGAAACATTTAGAAGTTAGACTTTGATTTGAAATTCATAATTTAAATTCATAAATGCAAAAACATATATTACTGTATAGCTACTTCATTCTAAGGATTCCCATTGACATTTCCGGAAACTAGCGTTATCAACATTGGCTTATAGAAGTCAACCCCATCCCCAACTCTGGTCCCAATGGGAACCATTGTTGTAAATGTGCTAACATCAGGTTTTCCAATAGCTTAGTGAAAACGTTGAATTTTTCTAAAAATGCTGGCCACAAAAACTGAAACAATTTACAAGAAAACAAACTGTTGTTTATGTTGACCTGAAGTTAGCAGATGTGTTTTCTTACTGGAAATGTGATTGTGACAGGTAGACTGCTGGAATCTATAAAAGATACCAAATCTTTTAATGTTCAGAGTATCGGACTGTACCCGCCTACTTAACAACTGTTTTTGATTGTCTATTCCATAAGCTTTCAAACAACAACCACAAAATATAACACAATTCTGCAAGCTCTACCCCACTGAGTTCAGAAATCCTCTCAACACTGCATTTAGCGTCTCTCACATCTGAATCCTTGTGTAACAGAAAACTCTCACAGTTACTCTAACTGACTCAGCAGGTTAGGAGTTGTTATATTAACAACCATACAAAATAAAATACCCATGCTGTGTGTAGCTACAACAGTAGTAACACAAAGGAGAATTGATAAAGCAGTAACCTACCTTCCAGTTTGGCATACTCTGACAGGCGTTGGTAGTTCACCAGAGCTGCCTGCTCCAGACACTTACGGATCACAGCCTTGACTTCCTCTTGCGGAACCGGAGTGACAATATCTTTCATAAGAACCTAAAAAGGATAGACACAGCACCAGTATTTTCAGTGAAACCATGTAAGACAAATGAGGAGAAATGTCAACATGTTGTCTCTCGCTGATAGAACATAAATATGGATCAATGCCAACATGTGTAATGTCTTATTGTCAACTGAGCTAGTAGAAAAGTAAATGGTGTTTAAATGTTACAAATAAACTATCTGCTATCTAAATAGTGCTACCTTATATACAAGTCCAGCATTAAACATGACTTACCCTTTCAAGCAAGGACAGAGTTGCTTTCAACGCTCCCTCGGGCCGTCCAAATGGAAAGCAGTACCTGTGGAAGCAACAGATTGGATTTTCATTTGAACCCTTAGCAGTCCGGTTTGGCATGGCATAACATGGTTGTTATATATGGTTCCTACCTGAAGTGTGTAATCTGGTTTTCCAGAAGGACCCGTAGCCTCTCCTTGATCTCCTCAAAGCGCTCCTTCTCCTCCACAATCACCGTGCCAATACCGTCAGGCCTGAAAGACAACAGCATTTACAACCAATGAAAGGTTTTGCTCTCCAGGCAGCCTTTGCTTCCGTGCTGGGGTTAGGATTGGTTCAGGTCCAGGACCTTTGTTTATCCTTTCAGAAAGCAAGTCCTGTGGAAGTATTAAGCACTTATCTTAGGGTGTTTTCACATTGGCAGTTTTGTCTAAATCTGGGAATGGTTCTCCTAAAAAATTTGTGATATTCTGTGGTGATACTTTTCCTGGACTTGATGGAGAAATTTGGGCCTGATTCCACATGTATGAAATACACTTAGATGGGTTCCATAGAAGGGGCGGCTGTGGCTCAGAGGCAAAGCAGTTTGTCGACTAATGGGAAGGTTGTTGGTTGGAACCCCGGCTCCTCCTGCCACATGTCGGAGTATTCTTGAGCAAGATCCTGAACCCCAAATTACTCCCGGTGCTGTGCATCGGAGTGTGAATGTGTATGAATGCATTAGTTTCCGTTCGATGGGCTTCGCCATCACTGAGTGAATGTGTGTGAAAGGGTGAATGTGGCATGTAATGTAAAAGTGCTTTGAGTGGTCCATTTAACATTTACCAATCAAGATATGGGAGCATATTCTACATTCTTGACGCCATGGATCGCTGTTGGAAAACTATAACATACCTCTCTGATGTTTCACTGGAGAAGAATATTTATACTCCAAAGAGGAATGCACAATACTTAATGTTGCTCTCAATTTCTCCTGTGAATGTCAAAATTACAGTCAATCTCATTCTCTGGCAACAATAGTAAAAGTTAACCTTTAGAGGCAACTGGGCTCACAAGATCACGTGAGAATCCATTTTGCCAGCCTTCAAGCTATGCACTTGTGTCCATCCACAGTAGTTCGGACCAATCAGCGTCAATCAAAGGAACTACTAGCAGCTACAGCATGAGCTATGGCCGTGGTTTAATGCTAGGTATGCTATGGTGGCTGCTAAAGAGGTTAGCGTAGATACTGCTAGCATCAGTTCTATCAGAACTGAAGAGTATTTCTTCATTGAAAGAAGAGCAAAGAACCACACTGAAGGATTTTCTCCATGGAAAAGAAGTTCTCTCTTCTCCCGACTGACTTCAGTAAAAGTTTGACTATGTTATATGATTCGCTGATCTGATTGGTTGAAATTTGTTCTGTTCTGACACAATCTTCAGCAGGACTGGTAAATTGAGAGCTTCACTCTTTGTAAAGACACAACACCAATCTGCGTAACTCTTAATGATAAGTCAGAGGTGCTGACTTATCGTTAATGATGATTAACGTCTATTAACAGACACACACACACTGTTTATTCTCTGTAAATTAAAAGTAATTTATTTGAATGACTCCTGCCAGATTTCATGATGAAAAGCTATAGTTAACAATACATCTGCTATGGTCAGCTAACACTTAAATGCATGTATTTAAGACACCCTCTTGTATCATATAGTTCTTATTATTTCAACACAGCAATTACAGCTTTACAAGCAGGTGTGTGTGTGTGTGTGTGTGTGTGTGTGTGTGTGTGTGTGTGTGTGTGTCCGATGTGTTTATCGTTTGTGACATGGTTGGGTCTGGGTGGAGTGTGAGCAGAGTGCATGTGACAGAAGAGGCGCTGGACTGGTGGCCATGACAGCATGATGAGAAGCAGGAGACATGACACTCTCCCTCCCCCCCTCCTCTTTTGACATGTCATTTCAGCAGACAGTGAGAAACTGTCTGTGTGTGTGGTTGCAGTGGGGGCGCGGGTATACTTGCTCTATGAGTGCTTCGTTACATTTCAAGGGGTACCAATTGGCCTAGCATCAGCGATCACCGACCTCTGAACAGACTTTGAGTGTATCACAGCCACCTGTAGGCCTCTGCTGCTGGAAACCCTGAAGCTGCACTCTGCATGGAGCCAATATTACCACGGAATGATATTATCACAGTAATCATGAATATATACTTTATACTTTTAAAATGGCACTAAAACATACTGGAATCGCTTTACCTTACATTAGAAATACTTATATTTGTTGCAGCACAGTTAGACATCTCCCTGTTCTTTATTTTGTAATCTATACTATTTACAGATATCCGGTTTCATTTTTTTGTTGACAATATAACGGAGAAGCTGAGCCTTCAGCCATGGTGACAGAATTAGGATTTTGGAATGACTGGCTCCCTGTTGTCCCAATTGTCACGATAATGGAATACACCACAATAAATGTGTTTTTTATCGTGATAATATCGTATATTATTCTATCCCTACAACAGACTTAATCAAATAAAAAGCAAACAAAAATAAAAATGTTTTGCATTTTCTGTAATATTTTGTTTCAGCTAAATGCACGTAGCATGTGCATACATCCATAATTAGTTAGGAGCTAAAATGTGATGGTAAGATAGTTGGTGGAGGTACACTGAATGGTTCAAAAAGCCTTTTACACCAGATTAGATTAGTTATTGAATCCTAAACAGAACCAGTTCAACAACCAGTCAACAACAAATAATCTTCCTGTGAGGAGTAAACCTGCCTCCTGTGTGAACTGACTGTAGCTTAATAGGGTCTGCCTAAGATGCTGTATTTTAAAGTTGGCCTGAGCCTGATGTTTTATGAGGTAGTACGCACTGTAAAAAGTGTGAGGAACACTGGTTGAGAACTCCAGAGAGCAGGACCATAATGACTGATTTAGAATAAAAAATGTTAAGGTGATTTTTTTGTTCAATAATCATCTTTAGTTCCTTTTTGCTGTTTTTTTCTGTGCCCCTTTTTCTGTGGCTTCAGAAATAACATGAGTATATACAATCTTGACACAAAAATGGGAGAGGAGCTGTCATAAGACAAATTCACAGTAAAAAGCCATCTCACCTTTTATGTCGTGATAGAAAATGAAAGAGGAAAATTTCACACTAATTAAGTCCTGCAGGGCTCTTTCTCTCTCTCTTTTTTTTCTTCTTCCAGCCGCGCGTTGTTTCTTGGCAGCTTCCTCATGTTTGCTTGACCTTGTGACCTCGCAGCTTCAATGACGACAACAAGCAAATGAGCCATCAGTGACAGACAGACGGCGAGCCAGCAACACTTTCACATCTCCTTGTGTATGCAGCGGACAGCCTCATCAAGTCCTTTAGGTACATTACCATCAGACATGTCCGCTTTAAAAGCAAATCAGGTTCAAGATCCAAAAATGCAGCTGTTACTGGAATCATGTGTAGCGTACTGCTCTCCTTAAGTAGTCATCTTCAAAATATATTCTGGTACACTTCATTTCCAGAATCAGTCTAGCGCTGAAATGGTCAATCAGCTATTTGATCAGGTCATTTTCTCAGCAAAAACTGCAAAAATTCTCTGGTTCCAGTCTCTCAAAGACAAATAATTCCTGTCTGCTATGGCATTAAACTGAATATCTATAAAACAAGACATTTGAATATTAGTTATGAGAACTCTTTTTAATGAGCCAGATCATTTGGCTCAGCTCAGCAATAAGAGCCCCAATGGCTCTTCATTCCGTACGTCTGGCTTTTGTAATTTAGACAAATTTAGCTATATTTTGACCTATGATTGGTATTGGTATACATACGTAACATAAATTATACAATCTATTAAGCCTTATCATTTCCAGAATACCATCATTTTACATTATCATTAATACAAAAACCTTAAATAATGTAAAAACATCAAAGTTTAAACACGTATTGAACATTCTGGCAACTGGCAAGCATACAAAACTTTTACCATGCTTGGGTCTTAATGTTACTACAAAGTGACAAACTTCTGGATTTTATTTAACAAATATGTCACAGGATCAACCTATTGTTGTCATATATTCAGTTATTTGAAAAAAATAAATAAATAAGTTGCCGGCTCTCTCATCATTCACTTACAGGAGCCGACTCGTTCACTAACAACACATCACTGGTGAATATGTCAAGTTGGACTCTGGCAGCCTGTGATGGACAGGTTGTCTGACCTTTTATTGAACATCATTAAAATCAACAAAATAACTGTCATATGGGTTGATAAATTTAAGAGTAAATAAAAAAAATAAGGAAACAAATAGACTTAAAACTGCCGCATCACATGCTGGCGTAACACATGTGGACCACAACATGAATGAATTTCACGTAAATCCCATCAAAATCGCCACGCAGCGCTTACTTCCTGTTGCCAGTAGGGGGCACAATGAGTATATCTGAATATTGGCATGTAGACGTGTTCAGGGCGGGACTCCTATCAAATATATGAAGTTTTGTGTAGATTGGATAAAATACACTAAAAATACAACTTCTTTTTTGATTGAGATACATGGAATTAACCACCTCAGGACATACTGAAAAGTCAACAGATTCATAACACATCATCAAAATCTTAAGCATCTTCTGACCAAATAAAGCTGATCTGATCTACCTGTAAGGAGGAGCAGACCTGAGTATAAAACATATCTCTTCCTGTTGCCAGTAGGGGCGCTATCACTACAAAAATTACCACTCAATTCAAAATGGCCGACTTGACACGCCCATTGCCGAAAAGTCACAAATAGCACAACTTTTAATCGTCAATTTGAAGTAGATCCGATAAATTCCTCAAGAGTAGGACGTTCAAATACAACGCGAAAAAATAGCCGAAAATGAAATGAAAATTGAATGAAATTAAGAATGGCCGACTTCCTGTTGGGTTTGGGTTATGGGTCCAAGAGGCTTTTTTGCTTGTCTGATGATGATGATACACATGCATACCAATTTTCGTACATGTCGGTCATTTGTGTCTTGGAGGCTGATTCGGGGGAGCGTGGCTTAGTCATTTTGTGGTGCCTGTGCATGGATCCAAAAGAATACATAAAATTTTCGCCACGCTTGAATTTTGGGCAAAGTTTCGTGAGTTTTCGAGCATGTTCAGGGCTCCAAAAATGCGATCATATTGGCAGAAAAATAATAATAGCCAATTCTAACAGATAAAATAGGTCCTTGCACTGGTCAGTGCTCTAAATATTGTAGCCAAAAAATATTTGAGCTGAAAAAAGTTGTTTATAACATTCAAATTGAGCTATAAACTGACTTATTGACTAATTATTGTGGATGTTCTATATACATATCCAAACCACACCTTATATCATAAACTGTCTTCAAACATACATATCACAACCACTGCACCTCAATGTGTTTGCACAACCCTGCCTGTATATGGAGAGTATACTGTGTATCAGTAGAAAATGTAAATATAGCAGCTAAGATGACATGATGGTTGGAAATTACTACTTTCACTAAAGTAATGACTGTCTTGGATACTTTTGCTCTTTAGATTGCCAAGGGAAATTTAAATCAAACTCCAAGAGTACATGACAAAATTGCACGTAGCAGCAGCTGTATAAGCTGTAACATGCTCCAGTTCCATTTTCAACATCAAATTTATTTATCTTCAAATAAAGAGCAGCTGATATTTTATTTGTTTATTTGAAAGCCATTTCCTCACAAACAGCCGATCTAAACGGAGTGGACATTTAGCTGGACAGAAGTCAAATCCTGACACTTTAGCAGGCGACCGGGCAACCGGGTCCAACTTGGTGCACCAACACCTCCAGGCCAGCAGGCTATTAGGAGGCAGGGGTGGGGGTGGGGTGTTTGTGTGTGTGTGTTTGTTTGGGGGGGGTCTTGATGAGGTGTGTGCACTGGGGCACACGCAGCAGCGTTGGCAGCGGAGACATTCGGCCCGTCACACATGACAACCTGTCAACCTGTCATGCCTTGACCTCCAGGCGCGACTGGCTGGACCGGCGGAGCAGGTCTTTGTTTGATGCATAGAGATGTGGATGTGTAGATATGTACGGCTCATTATTTTTGGATTTTGGTGAAGAGAAAATTCCACAATTAGATGTGAACTTACATGTGTGTATTTATTCTGATTATTAATAACAGACTGTGCTGAACTCCTCTGGCAGTTGGAATCTAGTTAGTTTAAACCAAACAGCTCCTTGGTATGCTTATTGGTCAAATAAAACAGTGATAAGCCTCCATAGATTGTAATGAAACTCCTTTTCTCTTCATATCTGTCTTCTCCAGTATTTTTCCCTCTCTTATTTTTTCTCTGTTCCTCTTGGAGCGAGTGTGGTTCATCTGTCCATGCTGATCAGAAAAGGCCTCAGTCCTCAGCCACTGTTTGTCAGCAAGACAGAGGGAAGGATGGATGGATGGATGGGTAGATGGATGGAAAGAGGATGGGTTAGGTAGAGGGGGGAGAGAGGCACTGACAGACAGCCCTCCCCGACCTTTGCCCTCAGCACTGGAGTGGCCCTCGTCTATCTTTGTTAGGCTTCATCCACAGACGGCTGACTGTGATGTTGACAGATTTGATGTCTGCGGACATCACAGCAGATTAGACGAGAGGTAAATACTGCAACTTAGATAACAGGGTACATGCTGGAATAAAGGACGGATGGATAAACTAACCTCGTCCTGAAACAGAAATACAGCAGAGTAATGCAAACCCTTTTTCTTCACTTGTGTTTCTGTTTGCTGCTCCAATGCTCTGAGTTCTGGTGCTGGAAGTTCGCAACATTGGTTAAACTACTTGTTAAGAGATACTAGGGAAACTACCCCTCCTTCTGGCTTCTGTCTGGCCACTCGTCACAAGCCTTGCGGGAGAGGAGCTCCTTTAGGGTTTGATCCTTTCTAACCAGGATGTACACTTTCCTTTTCTTTAACTTTGAGCACGTCAGATGATCTCCTATCACAGATGATGATTGAAGGATCTAAAATGTGAGTTGTAAAACATAAGATCTACAACAACCCCATCCTCTCCACTGACCATTTCAGCTGCTGTCATCAGGCCGCAGACCAAGAATCCCAGTGGCCCAGAAGAATAGTTACAAAAGACTTTATTCCAACAACTGTGGCCATCCTCAATAAGAACCTGTTTAAATAGGCCCCATGGAACTTGCCTGACCCCCATTTTTAATACCCTTTTAAATTATTTTTAATATACATGTTATTGCTGTGTACTACTTATTATTGCTGTGTATTATTTATTGTTGTGACCACTTTCATTACCATCACATGCCACCTAGTCAATTTAACTTTCTGCTGTAACTTTCTACTGTTTTTGTGTGTTGCTATGTCATTTATGGTTGTGTATAGTGTGTTTTGACATATTCCAGTGTCAAAGATACATTTTCATTTTATGCAAATTGAATGGACAATACAGCAATCTGAATCTGAATCATGTAGGCAGAGCTGGTGGAACTACCAGATGTGCTCAGTGGTACTGCGTTTACAGATGATGTAACAGATTCAAACATTATGTTCAGCTGTACTGCGCATGTGCAACTCTCAACAGAGATGTGAAGAAAGCAAGATGGCAGTCTGATGAGGTATATGATATGGATATATAGGAATGGTGATTTACAACTAAACGTTGGACTAATGCAAGATAGTACACAATGGATTCACATATTATTGATTAAACATTAATTGTATAATATTGTAGGGACTGGACTACAGTAATTACCAGGCCTTCTCCCTTTACCGCCTATCCCCTCTACCCCTCTAATCCCTCTCTCCCCCCAAACCCAACTGGTCGAGGCAGACAGCCACCCACCTAGAGCCTGTCCGAGGTTTCAGCCTCCTAAAAGGAAGTTTTTCCTTGCTGCCGTCGCCAAGGTCTTGCTTATAGTGGGAACTGTTGGGTCTCTGTAAATAACGTAACGTAAAGTACGGTCTAGACCTGCTCGATTTGAAAAGTGTCCTGAGAAAACTTTTGTTATGATTTGGCGCTATACAAATAAAATTGAATTGAAATGAAATTCATAACAAAACTTATCTCACTACACTATTCAGATCAAGCAGGTCTAGATCATACTCTTATAACTTTTGTTATTTATAATATTTACTTATCGTTCTACTTATTCTATAGAAAATATTATATTGAATAAATATTGTTTACACCCCATTCTGTTCTATATAGGTCTACCACTATTAAGATCAGAAGATTGAGCCAACTGTTTTTAAGGGGGAAGTAGTAGTTGTAGTGGGAGCACTAGGGTGTCTGGTGTGACGGTGGGGCAGGTAGGAGGGCCCCTTAGCACAATTCTTTGCTTAGGGTCTTAAGGAGTTCAAGACTCTGCATGGGCTGTTACAGTAGTATAAGTCTGGAATGTGACATGCAGAGTACACGGGATGTAGACTGATGCACGTAATGAGGAACCAGAAGTTTACAAGCGCGGGTTCTTCCCGGAAACTTTTAGTTATACACTGTGAGCAACATTTGTTGAGGTTAGCACAACAAGCTGATTTAGTCAGTCACACAGACCTGCCTGCATCCTTGGGGCAATTCTGGTTCAAGATCAAGACGATGATGTTGTGTTGCTCCACTCGTGTGAAACCATTGACAGTATATATAATGGACAGAGCTTCCGGGTCTGTGAAATGAAGCGAATGGAGAGGTGTCTTAAACCTGCATTCTATCTAATGGCCAGCAGGGGGAGCTCCATTGGCTGCAATAAAAACAGATACCATGCAGTCTTATGGAGGAATGAGCCATAATATTAGATTATAAAAGAATATTCTTCTAAAATAGAAGAATTATTATAATATTCTTCTATAATAATATTATTATTTATTATTATTATTATTATTATAATATCAAATAATATTATTATTATATTATTTAATATTATATAATATAAAAGATTACGGCCAAGTGTTTAAAAAAGACATAAAGGAAAACTTATCTTTTTACTCTCCTCTCCAAAACTTAGCCAACTTTCTTCTTCTTCTTCTTCATGTCTTTCGGGTCTGGTCCCACAGGACTGGTCCATCCCTCAGGTCCGGTCCCCCTAGTGGCCTGGTGCACTTCCGTTTTGTCGAGTGAATTTGTAGCGTTTATTTCTTGGAGTTGTTTTGTTGTTTTGTGTGTTTTTGATATTTGCAGCATTTTTCTTTGGCATTTGTTTTGTGGGTTTGTAAGTTTGTGCTTCTGCTCCGTTTCTGTGGTTGCAGCATTTTTCTGTTGCTGCGTTTTTCTGTTGCATTTGTTTGTGTGTTTTTCGATTTGCATCATTCCCGTGTTTGCAGTGTTTTGTTGTTTGCAGCACGTTTGCCCGTTTGCGGCGTGTTTGCCCGTTTGCGGCGCATTTGCCCTTGTCAGCCACAGTAGGAAAAAACTAATAATAATAAGAATAATAATTGCCATATTATCAAAATCAGTGGTTCCCAAACTTGTTGCTTATCATTGACTAAACTGATGACCCCTGACTAAGTGACATATTTTACGGATATTTTATGTTATACTCAATGCAGATTATTTCCTGTGAATATTGCATCGGAGATGAGTTTTACCGATATCTTTAGGAACTTTTTATACAATTATCTCTCTTTTAACTGGGTCCTTTTTTAATGCAGGACAAAGCTGTGAGAGTATAGCTTGTGTTCAGGCATTTTAAGGGGTTTAAGAAGGCCTCGCAAACCCCCTGTGAGGCTTTGGGAACCCCTAGGGTGTGTTCCAACCACCAGGTTTCGGACGCACTGATCTAAAACACTTGTTAAGAAGTGAAAGCACACATCAAAAATGACACAACCCTGGGGTAATGTGAATCCACCTTAACTAAACATGGATTTATATGGCTCTTTAGGCTTTTTTATGGCTCAGTCAGTCACAGGACTATATATTTTTTTCTCAATGCGGGCCCTGGCATAAAAGGCTCTGTCCACTACATTTTGTGAAGGTACTTCCTGTGACTTCAGCTTAACTTACATGAACTGGTTTTGATAATTGGGTTGTAGCTGTCTGCTGATGATGATTTTGGCGAACTAATGATAGGAATAATGGCAAAAACGTTTTAAACATGGTTACATTTCCCCACTTGCTGTACAACACAGACTGTATGATGACTTACCTTCGACTTCCTGAGAATATTGTGGATCTGGGGTCTTTTTTCTTCATGAACTCAATGATTTTGAGCTCTCTCTTAACAGTTTGGACAGGGAGCTCAGGGGCAGAGGGGAACAGGGCTCGCTCGAGTTCGGCCTCAGATACAGGCCAATTTAACAACTCAGACACACGCTTACTAGGTGCAGTTGTGTAGAAGTGCAGGGATTTTTGGGAACAGCGGGTGAAGGTTGTTTGGTAAAAGTGAACAAGGTAAAGAGGTTATACAGGGAAAGAAAGACAAAAGAAAGAGGAAAAGTGAGCATGCAGACATGCACGGTGAAAACCAAGAGACATGCAAGAAGAAACAAATTGACGCATAAAACTCAAAACAATAAAAAAACAAGGGGGTCATTGCATCCTATATGTGCACTTGCCCATTTGACATTACTTTGTCATCACTTCCCTGCTCCAACATCAGTTCTTACTATAAAAAGTTATACATTGTTTTTCATCTGAGGTTGGTTTGTCCCTGCAGGCCGAGGTGAAGGTTTGATTGGTACCTGTTTCCGTGGACGTGGGAGGCACAAAAGGCGAAGCTGTAGTGCAGCAGGGTGGGGTCAATCATGGCTCCATTCTCCGCCCTCTCCAGCAGATCGCTCAGGTAACATAAATGCCGATGGCAGCCTCGGACACCGTAGCGAGCGCAGTACTCGTCTAAGACAAAAACTTGACCAGGACTGAACCAGCCCTGTGGGTAACACACACACACACACACACACACACACACACACACACACACACAGAGCTGTGTGACTTCTTTGATCAGTTAAAAGGGTGTTAATGCACATATACAAACGCTAGACAAGCGGTTATTAAACTATTTATTCATTTATTACTAATTATTTTTTGCAGAGTGCAATATTGTACAATACAATATATTATTGTGAATGTGATTGCATTTGTTGTATTGTTCTTTTTCTTCATATTCTTCTTCATCTGTGAGGTGAATGGTTTTAATATATAGAATATAAAGTATGGTTTATCAAACTTGGATTTAGAGTTTTTATTGAATCATTATAATTATAGTGTCATTATTTTAGGAATGATGCATATAATAATTATTGCAGTACTGGGAATGTCCACAGTGGCATTTTATTTATTTATTATTTACCTTTCTAGCACGTAAAGTTCTACCTGAGCTAAGCACAAATCCACTGAAGTATGACGCTACAGTTTTTCTTAGTCACTAGGGGTTTCTTTTTGTTTTTCTATTTTTTAAGGAAGGACCTCTAGAACAATAGATAAGGAATTTCAGATACACATGTATTCTGAACTGCTACAATATAGATTCATTAACAAAAACCTGTTGCATTTTCTTGGTCCAGTATTTCCATTGTGCAGACCTTAGAGACATTATGTATTTCTGTGGGTTGCAGAAATGGCTACATCTCGAAAACTATATATACACTGAACTCAAAGATCTAAGACTTTCTCTATGTACACAAAAGGCCTATTTCTCTCAAATATTGTTCACAAATCTGTCAAGATCGGGGTCTCGATCTGACTGCAGTCTGTCGTCCTAACCGACTTGAGTGGGCAAATGCTCACATTCGATGGCGTCTGGCACTTTGGAGAGGTGTTCTCTTCACGGATCCCGGTTTTCACTGTACAGGGCAGATGGCAGACAGCGTGTGTCATGTGGGTGAGCGGTTTGCTGATGTCTATGTTGTGTATCAAGTGGCCCATTGTTGCGGTGGGGTTATGGTATGGGCAGGCGTGTGTTATGGACAACAAACACAGGTGCATTTTATTGATTGCATATTGATTCAGAGATACTGTGACGAGATCCTGAGGCCATTCATCCACGACCATCACTTCATCATGTTGCAGCATGATAATGTACAGCCCCATGTTGCAAGGATCTGTACACAATTCCTGGAAGCTGAAAACATCCCAGTTCTTGCATGGGAAGCATACTCACCGGACATGTCACTCATTGAGCATGTTTAGGATGCTCTGGATCGGCGTATAAGACAGCGTGTTCCAGGTCCTGCCAATATCCAGCAACTTCGCACAGCCATTGAAGAGGAGTGGACCAACATTCCACAGGCCACAATCAACAACCTGATCAACTCTATGCAAAGGAGATGTGTTGCACTGCGTGAGGCAAATGGTGGTCGCACCAGATACTGACTGGTTTCTGGACCCCCCGGACCCCCCCAATACAGTGAAACTGCACATTTTCGAGTGGCCTTTTATTGTGGCCAGCCTAAGGCACACCTGTGCAATACCCATGCTGTCTGATCAGCATCTGGATATGCCACACCTGTGAGGTGGATGGATTATCTCGGCAAAGGTGAAGTGCTCACTAACACAGATTTTGACAGATTAGTGAACAATATTTGAGAGAAATAGGCCTTTTGTGTACATAGAGAAAGTCTTAGATCTTTGAGTTCAGCTCATGATGAATGGGGGCAAAAACAAAAGTGTTGCGTTTATAATTTTGTTCAGTGTATGTATGTATATGGATTCAGAACCAGTGTACATCTGATATTTAACATTTAACATTTCAAATGAATGTTGAACGTTTTTAAGGGGAAACTTTGTCCACCATTTAAGGCATTATACATGCCACATGTCTTGACAGTTTTTCCATGCAGATTTTGTGATTCCAACTCAAACACAAAGAAATCTGTGGGGCCTTTCCATAACATACTAAAAATAGTAGTTTGTTATTAATGCCCTAGCCTTCTCTCCTCCATATGTTCATCATTTGCAAACATATAGCCTTTCGATAATTCTTTTGCTGATGCTGAAACCTTTTCTACTTGCATTGATGTGTGTTTGTCATTAATGCTCAGCCTTCTCTCCTCCATGTGTTCATCCTTTGCAAACATAAAGCCTTTCGATAATTCTTTTGCTGATACTGAAACATTTTCTACCTGCATTGACGTGTGTTCACACTGTCAAAAGTAAATTTAGAACTTTCTAAATGGGCACATTTTAAAGACACGTTTGCTTCAGGTCCCAAAGCCTTCTTCAAACTAAGTGCCTGTCAGATTACCTTTCTGACAGAGCAATCAAGCAGGTTGCATCCAACAATCTTATGAACAAAATGACGTAACAGGGTTTGAACTTTCCCCTCTCTCAGGCACCCCTTTTTTCATTCTTGAACTAGTTCAGTGTCTACCTTCACTGTGTTACTTACAACAAGTTTACATTGATATAAAACCCTTCCATACCAGGCAGGAGTAGGAGTCATTGAGTCTGTGGTCCAGAGTGAGGCGCTGTATCAGCTCAAACAGCGAGCCGTGGTCAAAGTTACAGGGGTTAGCTGAGATAAACTCGTCCATGCCATGCTTCTGGGCTCGATCAGCATCTGCACACAACCATTTACCCATCCAATGAGGAGGCAGACAGAGGGAGAGAGAGAAAGAAACAGAAGGCAAATGTCAGACCAAGGTAGAAAAACGAGAATAAAGTTTGCCATAGCACTTACAAGAATGTAATTAAAACAAGTAATCTTATTAAGTGCCAACAATAAAGCAATGCTGTACTGTAGGGTTAACTGCAAGTTAAATAAAGTAATTATTTAAACTCTGCAAAATGTAAAAAGGCAGCAAATTCATAATTTATTATTATTCATAGTGGGTACAAGTTGAATTTGATGTTATCCAAACAAGTGATCACATTTTTAAAAAAAAGTGCCAATCAGTCCAGCATTGACTTCATTATGGCCCCTTCGTGAAGGTTGGAGGGATGAGTTAAGGTGGACAGGAGAGTTTTTCAGGCAGTTTTTAGGAAGTGACTGCTGATCTGGAGGTTGAAGTTTAGTTCTGAGGTCTGGGGGTCATGTTATGTTCATGCATATTCATACATTCTCATCTATACGCATCAATTTGAGTTAATGCATCTCTAAACATCTTAGGTTCTATTTTAGTCCATGTAACTACATTGTATTGGGCTGAAACACAGAGTATAGCAGTACACATCCACACACGGAGAGGGCAAGGTGCAAGACCACAAGACTACTGGTACATATCCCCAGGGGTGTTTAGGGATGTGAGGGATCGCGATGCTGCCCAGCATTGGACAGTTATAGTCACAAAAGGCTATAAATGGTAAATGGACTTGTACTTGTATAGCGCCTTTCTAGCCTTCTGACCACTCAAAGCACTTTTACACTATGTGTCACATTCACCCTTTCACACACATTTACTCAGTGATGGCACAGAAACTAACATTCATATACACTCACACACCGATGCATGGCATCAGGAGCAATTTAGGGTTTAGTATCTCAAGGATACTTCGACATGTGGCACCAGGAGCCGGGGATCGAACCCACAACCTTCCGATTTAGGAACGACCCGCTTTGCCTCTGAGCCACAGTCACCCACTGAGCCACAGCCGCCCTATACTCTCTTACAACCACGCAAACACTTCTGACTGGACAAATGCTTGCTATTCCTGGGTTTTAAAATGGATGGCAGCTTGTTTGAAAACGTTCTATTGTATTAGGATAATAGTTTACTGAAATGTATTTCTGAAAACATTTTAAGCAAGATATAAGCCATGCAGTTGCTGAATCTGTCTTGTGAGCCGTGGCACCGGATGCCCCAGCAAATGAGTTTCTCAAAACGCGAAGTGGTGCTGCCACAGTGCATTGAATGGCTGCTTGGAAATGAACTACCATGTGGCCACATACCTTTAGTCAGAGTTTGTGAGTACCTGGAGCAGTGCAACCACAGCATTTTACTGCTGCCAGTTGCACAGGTGCACTCATGAACATAAGAGCTATTGAAGAAGTAGAGGCTATTCATGGCATTATTAGAGATGTTCCGGAACCATTTTTTCCTTCCCAATACCTATTCTGATACCTGAAACTTTGTGTGTATATATGTATGAAATATCATTGTTGTATGGCCTGGCTCAAGGTAAACCCTTTGTAAAACATGAAATCCATACAGAGAATGAATGTTTTTAGTTTCTGTACTCGGCCATTGTTAAATTGGATATTTTTTTAAATGGATGGTAAATGGACTGTATAGCACCTTTCCAACCACTCAAAAGCACTTTTACACTACATGCCACATTCGCCCTTTCACACACATTCAGACAGTGATGGCAAAGCCCATTAGGAGTAATTCGGGGTTCTGTATCTTGCTCAAGGATACCTCAACACATGGCGGGAGAAGCCGGGGATCAAACCAACAACCTTCTCAATTGGTGGACGACCCGCTCTGCCTCTGAGCCACAGCCGCTGCTTAACAATTTACTTTACTTATCTGTTTTGCACGGAAGTGAACCAGAAGCTGAAATATCAGCCTACTGTGTACATTTTAAAGTTTTCTTTCAGCCCTTAAAATCTAGATGGCCTCGCAAAGCCATCATAGCCTTCATAATCCCAAGAACTGTTTTAGTTTCTCAAGATTTGTGGAGTAACATGGTCTTGCTTTAGGAGCACAGTGGCTTAACAGTCTCTCAGAGTAGTGACTACCTCTACCTCTGAAAAAGAACTTATGACTGTCATTTTAGCATCCAATAAAAGTGAAGCCTTCAGAATTTGGAGTAGCTGTACAGCTAAATGGACTGCCTTAATAAGACTACTGCCAGCACTTCCCTGTGCTTTGTATAAACGTACTGCCTTATAAAACAGGATATTGTATTGACCACTTATAACCCAGTAATATGTAAAGCAACTCAAGAGTTACCAAGGTCCAGAACTGCGTTACCCATAATACCATCCCACAGTTACCCCACTACACTCATTAACCCCCCAATTTTTCTAATGCGACTTCACACTGCAGTGTCGGTGGCCCCAGCCCCCTGGAGTCAAGGATGTGGTGGCTGCACACATATTTTGTCTGAAAAATAGATGGTTTAAATTGAATTTGACAACAAATTCTCACTTGCTTTCCTGGTGGTATGCTATACTTACATCTGGGTGCAATAGAAAGGCTTGGGGATTTTTTTTGCATTTTGTAGGGGACCAAAAACATGCATTTAATGTGCAATATAATCACTAATTTGCTTTTGGGAATCTGTTGTGTTCTCTTCAAATCCAGTGTACACTACTACACTACACTACAGATATTTTAACATCCAGACACCTAATAGTACTCCTACCTATCTGGCCCCAGTACAGTATTTTTAGTATAATGGTAATTTGTCTTTATTTAAGATTATACATCAGCTAGCCCGAGGGCCATTTCTGGCCTTTTTCCTTCCACACCCCTCCCTCTGGCCCGTGACATGATGTCAAAAAAATAATATAATTATAAGAATTATTATTATTATGTATTTTATTTATTAAGTATTTTTTCTAGTTGTTTCATATCAATTTAAAGTACTCTTTCACAAAGAATTAAAATAATTAAAAAAAACAATTCTAATTCAAAAGGTGCCTGCAAATGCATGCACATAATACATATATATATATATATATATATATATATATATATATATACATATAAAATGTATAGAAGCTGTTGTTTGTACTGCTGTTGCAAGTATGATGTTAGTAATGGAGATATTTTCAGAATATTGCACTTTCTTGCTGTACTTGAAGTGGACCACCTATAATATAACAATACCAGCAGTGGCCCCAAGCCAGTTTAAGTTTGAGACCCCTGGTCTAAAGGAAAAATAATTGATGCAGGGCTCTTTTAAAAGACAAAGCCACAAGCTTATGTAATAACGCAGGATCCAGCTGATTTTCTGCAAATTCCTACAAACAAACAGGTACACGAACACAGGACTTTTCACCCTGGAGACCACGGGTAATGGTCCATGTGAAACCAAAAGTTTTAGGTTTCATGACATTACATATGTGACTTATTTTAACCCAAATCATGATGTTTTCCTAAACCTGTTATAAAAGTTTTGTTGCCTGAACCTAACCAAACTGCTACTGTTTCACAATGTTGACCATGTGTTAAAAAGGGATCCAGACACTGAAAGGAAAACAACATTGCCCAGTTGGTAAACCAGCCTCGTTTACAAGTTCACTTACTACTGAACCCAGTCACGGAGAACACTCAATCAGTATTTTCAGCCAGCTCATCCACATCACCCTGAGTTCTCATGGTACTGGTTTCACCTTTTACCAGGCAACAGGCTGTCAATATAACATAGGCTGTTCCTGACATCACTACCTACTCCCTATAGAGTGGACTATACTTCCACCCCACCATTTTTTTTGAGTGTCAGAACTCTGACCGTCAGTCAGGACAAACCTGGGACAGACGTGAATGAAGGTTACACCGAGCTACACAGCAATCAAGAGATTTGTCAGCCAACGTCCTCTTCACTGCCCAACGAAGGCACCCCAGCTGTCAATCAACAAACAAAACAAAGAGCAGGATGCTGGGAGCTGATTGTGTCCCCTCAACAAGTCCTCCCCCCTCCTCCCCCAAAAATCTAAAAAGGTGACATTGTGGTGCCCCTTTGGTCTGTAGCTGGTGGCCTGTCAGGTCTGTTTGATGTGAGTGAGCGGGAGTGGATGCGGGAGGGCTGGACAGTAACATGCAGTGACATTAGTCACCCCCGTCCGTCTGGGCTGGGGAAGGATGGGCCTGACAATGATTGATGGCTGCTATTCATTTATAGATCCAGAAGAGAGGAACCGGGAGGCAGCGGACACACTGCTGGTCCTGGGTTTGATGGTCAAAAGCATTTGGGGCTATTTAGCATGTGGTCTTTTTTGTGCACTGACCATGAGACACATGTAGTTATTTCTGTCACTGCACTTCCCCACTGACGCCCTAACATCTCTAACCTACACCACAGGAAAATACACTTCCTTATTTTGTCACAGCTTCCAACAACTGATGTAGTTTTTAAACGTCTATAGTGAGATGGGAGGTATTTGTGTGAGCTGGGATTGTGTGAGTTCAGCTTTGATGTCTCAAATTCAACTGTGAACTGATTGATCTCTGTGGCGTTTACCAGTTTCTGTGGTAAGACATTTCTGTGGAACTCCTCACACACAGCAGCTTCAGGGTAGCACAACACAGGTGTTACTTACAAATATTTTTACATTTTTAACTGTAATTACTTTTTCAGTCCTGCCTCTCATGTTAAGCTATATTATGTGACCAGTATTATCTTTCACTTTCTAAACCCGCCAACTGTTGCTAAGAATCATAGGCTAAGAACAAATCACTCATCCCTTTAGTAGCTACCTCGTTTAGCTTTCGTGTTGTCAGCATAACATACTACACTGATCTGAGTTCAGAAGCAGATCCACCATTTAGTATCTTCCAATTGGTATCCAACAAGGGTTAACTACGCAAATTATGTCTTTTCTTCTGTTTAAGTGTGTGGAGGTCTGTGAATATAAATTCTATATATATATATACATTATAATAATTTAGT